ATGTCTTCTAATATTTCCTTAGCTGTTTTCACTATGTTTATGCATGCTTTCTTAAACACTGAGTTCCCTGAGAAGCTGACTTACTTGGATGCTTTGCTCAATTCTTTCTCATTTGAGATCTTTGGCTATAAAAGCGAATATTTTTATTTTTTCAACATTCCAAGGCTATGTCCTCTTTGGGTCTTGGAAAACCTCAAGATTCACTGGGCTTTTCTCCTTTGTGATTTTAAGTTCAAAGTAAAAATTGGGTTTATCTGACCATCAGTACATCACATGAGAATTCTGTCAGAGCCATTTTTGGTTTGTAATTGAGACAAGCAAAGCAGGAAAACATCAGCAGTATTCTCAGATTTCCTTTAAGAGATTTCCTTAACATAATATTGAGATTTACTGCTATCTTACAGACTCAAATACTACAGATAAATGTTTATTTTTGAGCCTTTAGTTTATGAGCAAAACACTAATTGTTCTTCATTACAGCATTGTCAAGGATAACAACTTCATTCTCTATGTACTTTAACACAACAAAATTTTCTGACTTATCAATTATGTTTATATGATGACTCAGCAGTCCAGGCAAGATTTGACAAGATAAAGTCCTTTATTCTTTAATTGTATTATTATTATTTTGCTTGGATTTATTTCTATTTCTAAATATTTGATCTATCTCATAATATTTTATTCACTTATACAAGCTTATTCACACACATGGGTATAAAAAGCTATACAAAAGGGTTGTTATAACATTGGGTCCAGAGTATTTTACTCCTACTCTAGTATTTAATGACTAGTTAGAAGTAACTGTTTAGCCGGGCGTGGTTGCTCACGCCTGTAATTCCAGCACTTTGGGAGGCCGAGGCGGGTGGATCACGAGGTCAAGAAATGGAGACCATCCTGGTCAACATGGTGAAACCCCGTCTCTACTAAAAATACAAAAAATTATCTGGGCGTGGTGGCGCACGCCTGTAATCCCAGCTACTCAGGAGCCTGAGGCAGGAGAATTGCCTGAACCCAGGAGGCGGAGGTTGCGGTGAACCGAGATGGCGCCATTGCACTCCAGCCTGGGTAACAAGAGCGAAACTCCATCTCAAAAAAAAAAAAGAAGTAACTGTTTATACAGTGTGCACTAGGTAGTTACTGCAGGTAACATAAAATACATTTTTAAATGGCCGTATTTCTTAAAAGTGGGAGGAAAAACAACATAAAGGAAATGTGAGAAAAATTGAAAAATAACCTTACCATAGTATAAGACGAAACAAGTACAATTTAATGAGGGCTTTCCATGGGCAGAGCACTGTGTTTAGTCTTTGAAATGCATTTCTATCTCATTCACCACATCTTTATTTTATAGATGAGAAAACTAAAGTTGAGAAACTTCAGTAACTGAAAACTGAAATTCAAACTCATTTCTGACATCAAAATCATGCTTTAATTGCCTAATTAATTAATTAATTAATTTTTAGACAGGGTCTCACGCTATTGCCCAGGCTGAAGTACAGTGTGCAGTCATGGCTCACTGCAGCCTTGAACTCCTGGACTCAAGTGATTCTTCTGCTTCAGTTTCCACAAATGCTGGGTTTATAGTCATGAGCCACTATGCCCGGCCAAAATCATGCTTTTAACTATACAGTACTGCTTGCCTGATAAAAGAGTAAGAGTTTTCCTTGACCATTTATATAGTCCAGTGGGAAAACTCTTGAAAACTAGAAGGAGGTTATGAAATTCATTTGTATTCCCAGGATCTTGCACAACAATGAGCATAAATGTTTCAGTTTCCCCAAGGATGAACTGCAAACCAGATCACCTAAATGTTAGCAACAGTAGCATAAGCTTAGTGTACTAGCCTTTTCTCAAAGGAGAATCATGATGTCATAGATATCAGGTAGCTTTCTCATAGTTTGCATAATCACTAAACTCTTGTTAGTGTTTATTTCATGTTATTTCATGTTGTATTAGTCCATTTGGACTGCTATAAGAAAACATCATAAATTGGTAGTTTACAAACAGCAGAATTTATTTTTCACAGTTCTGGAAGCTGGAAGTCTAAGATCCAGGTTCTTGCAGATCTAGTGTCTGGTGAGAGCCGGTTCCTTGATTCATAGATGGTACCTTCTCTCTGTGTCCTCACATGGCAAAAGAGGTCAACAAACTCCTTTGGGCCTCTTTGATAAGGGCATTAATCTCATTCATTTAGGCTCTACCCTTCATGACCTAATATCTCCCAAAGGTCCCAGCCCTAATAGTGTCACCTTGGGGGTTAGGATTTCAACATACGAATTTTGGAGGGACACAAACATTTAGTCCATTGCATATCACTCTGGGATTTTTCACCTGATCTTTCTTCTCAGTATACTTTCCCTATCTTAATGAATCAACTCAATTTCACCTCTTCTGTGAATGAAACTTCCCTGACCTCCTCAGGCAGAGGATACTCCTCTCTCCTTTGTCGCTTACTACTTCTGGTATCTTACCCCTTCCAACACACATTAGACTGTATGTAATACTGGTGTGTGTGTGTGTGTGTGTGTGTGTGTGTGTGTGTGTGTGTGTGTGTCTTTATAGAACGTCTGGGAGGAGTTCATTGGCATGTGGTGGGAGAGACAAATGTGTATCATAATATTCACTTCACATCTGTGAGGTGAATATTTACATGAGATGTCCAAGGCACAGAGTGAGATATCCAAGATATCTCATGGAAACATGAGCTATCCAAGACACAGAAAGCTGCAGCTCATGTGTGACATATTTATTGAGTACATGAGAGACACTGAATAAATAACTTTTATATTTGGAGAGGGCATAATTTAGTAGAGCATTCCTCAAAAGGCCCCATCAGAAACTTCCCACGATTTTAATAACTGTTCCTTGAAAAAAAGAATATATTACTCAAATTAATTTGATAAGTTCAAGGTTGAATAAAATTAAATTTTTTAATATGTGCTTTAATTTTTCCCTGCAATATTTCTTGGAACTCTTAATGTGCTGATGTGCCTTGTGAATTTCCAAAAGTAGATTCAGTATGCAGCATTTTCTAATGTATTGGGCCATAAAATTTCATGTTCTCCATGTATATCCTAAGACACAGTTTGGAGATACTGTTGAGAGTAGAGTATGATATCGTTATCACCATATATTAACTGCTTGATTTTGGGTTACCTCTTTATGCCTCAGTTTTCTCAACTGCAAAATGGGGATAATACCTTCCTGCCTGCTTCAGACAGGTGAAAAGAAATGAGAATAATACCTGTATCTAATATTGTTGCTGGCAAAACGAAAAGGTTTATAAAATGTCTAGGAGTTCCTAGTAGATGTTAGCATTTACAGTTATTAATAATATGTCCAGAAGCCAACTCTTTATCTTCAGATCTCTAGCATTTTTGCAGAATACCAGATTTGAAGCTGAGTTAAAGTCAGACTGTTAGTGCATGACTCAGCTTTAGAATGTAGGTGTCCAAAAAGACTTCCCCTCCACCTGTATCATCTGCCTTTTAAACAGAATCTGAGTCAATATATTAGGTTAGCCCTGTTCTGGCCACGGTCCTCTCCTTTAATATCTTCTTATAAAAAATAAAAATAGGCCGGGCGTGGTGACTCACGCCTATAATCCCAGCATTTTGGGAGGCTGAGGCGGGTGGATCATGAGGTCAAGAGATAGAGACCATCCTGGTCAATATGGTGAAACCCCGTCTCTACTAGAAATACAAAAATTAGCTGAGCATGGTGGCGCACGCCTGTAGTCCCAGCTACTCGGGAGGCTGAGGCAGGAGAATTACTTGAACCCAGGAGGCAGAGGTAGCGGTGAGTCGAGATCATGCCATTGCACTCCAGCTTGGGTAACAAGAGTGAAACTCCGTCTCAAAAATAAATAAATAAGTAAATAAATAAAAACAAAAGAAGAAATGAGGTTGAACTAAATAACCTTGGGAGTTCATATTTCCTCTAAAACTTCAAGGGAAAACCAAAGTAATTCTTTCTCAAGTTGCAGCAGATGGAGTTTTTGTATTTTCCAACTGGTCTGATAAACACAAAGAAGTCTAGTTTTTGGCGAAGGTAGTGGGATTCCTTGGGGCCAGAGCTCAAGATCAGCCTCTGGGAAAAATTGATACCTGCCCCCAACCCCCAAATTAAAATAAAAGTACAAAAAATCTGGGTGAGGTCATGCATTCCTATAATCCTAGCTACTTGGGAGTGGAGGTCGAAGGACTACTTGAGCTCAGGAGTTGGAGACTGGACAACAGAGCAAGACTTATCAAAAAAAAAAAAAAAAAAAAAAAGGAAGGGAAGAAAGAACGAAAGGAAGGGAGGAAGCAAATGAAGGAAGGAAGGGAAGAGAAATGCCACCACTTTAAACTGGTTCCCATCAACCTTTTTGATATAAAGAAATTGTACTTTTGGTAATCTGTTATTTTAGACCACTATATCAGTTGGTCTATGTGGCTAAGTAGCATGATAACCTAGAGTTTATGCCTTGAAATAATTTTGATTCATTTGCTTCCCACATCTGCATTTATGAGCAGGGGCAGCTGTAGGGTGGTTCTTTATGTGGGATTAAGAGACACTACAGTTCTTGCAATAAACCAGATGTTTGAATTTTCAAAGGAAAAGTTCACACCTAGGGAAGTATTTATTCACAAGCTCCACAACAAGACCAGAGATTATAAGAAAACGTTCAGGGGACATGGGTCATGGAAACCAACAGGAACACCACAGCTTTCCCAACTTCATAGCCCGGGGGATGTTGCAAAAGACACAGAAATGCTGATCTTGTGCTGGCTGTAAAAATTTGTAAACTAGTGTTACAATGACTAAGAAATAGAAGAGTTACAATCTGAAGAGATTCCTGCTTTAACTTTATTTCTATCCGCTTTTCCAACATATCTTATAAAATATATGCAAAAAACCGGTTTTAGAAAACATTCCCTAAAATTACTGTGTATAGAAGCTTCAGGGATACTTTTGCTTTACTCCTCAGAGCCACCACGTTTTAAAAATCGAAAGTGAAATTAGTCCTAACTTTTTTTTTTTCTGTTCGTGACTTACAGGAGACACCCGGTTTAGTCTTCGAGCAGTGTTTAAGGGCTAAAGAAAAATCGCCGTTAGCAGTTTTCTTTTTCACTCTTTTTCTTTTTTCGAGGAACCGAGCTGTTCCCTGCGAGGGCCGCCTCCTCAGGACGACCCCCCAGCTCTCCGAGGCGGAAGGCAGCGCCGCTTCGGGAACGCGGGCCGTCCCCTCCCAGTCCCTCGGTGGGTTCCGGCGTCCCGGGCGCAGCTGTTTTCCGGGAAGCGGAGGCGCGCTGGGCCTCTGGGAGCTGCGGTCGGCGGGCGTACGCAGGTGAGTGGGGAGCCCGTTCCCCGGCTGCCACCCCCGCCGCTGGCAGTCCGGGGCTGGAGAGCCGCGGGTGGAAAGGGAGGCGGGGGCCGGCAGCGCGGGCGGGAGTGGGCAGCGCCGGGGTTGAGACTCTGCGCCGGTCTAGGGGGCGCACCTGCTCCTGGGCCCACTGTGCAGTCTCTGGGCCGCCAGGGCCTCGAACCCTGTGCCTTGTTTGCTTTGCTTCATTCAGGAAATTGAAACAAAGTGATTTGTGTTTCCTCGCTGTTTTCTCGGAGTGTCTCTAGAGATAGTTCTTCGGACGACGGATTTCTTAAAACGATTCTTGGTAGGGGCAGAGTTGCGCAGTCATGGCTCGCATTTCAGAATAGGCAAGGTTTTTCTTGGAGGTACGATGTTCCCAGTCTGCAACAGGCAGACATTCTATTGCCTTTCTTTCATTTTGCTGCCAGGCATGCATGTAGGAAGATTGGATTATACACGGCCTGGCACCGCAGTGATATGATCGTACTGGGGAAATACGATGATAATGATTTGTATGAGTTTTTTGTTCTTTGCCGTAACAAATTACATGGATTTAGTGGCTTAAACACATAGGCGCGCGCACACATACACACACAAATTACATGGATTTAGTGGCTTAAACACATAGGCGCGCGCGCACACACACACAAATTACATGGATTTAGTGGCTTAAACACAGGTGCACACACACACACACACACACACACACACACACACACATTACTGTTTTAGGATTCTGTAGCAGTCCTGCTGAGGTCTCACTGGGTTAAAATCAAAGTGTTGGCAGGGTTGCCTTCCTTTCTGGAAGCTCTTGGGGTGAATTCCCTTTCCAGCTTCCGGAGGCCACCTGCTTTACCTGGTTCAGTAGCCCTTCCTCCATCTTCAGAGCCAGCAACATTGCTGAGAATTCTGCGATCACATCTCACTCTTAACTCTCTTCTTCTGTCTTTCGCTTTCACTTTTAAGCATCCTCTTAATTACACTGGGCCCCCACAGATAATCCAGGGTGATCTACATATTTAAAAGCAAACTGATTAGCAACCTGAATTCAATCTGCAGCCTTAATTCTCCTCTGCAATGTAAACTAACATAATCACAGATTCTTGGGGTTAGGATGTGGACATCTTTGAGGGAGCCATTGTTTTGCCTGCTACATGGTTGCATAAAAGGAATGACCGTACATCCTACTCAGGCAAAAGTGAAAGTATCCAGATGTTAAAATGCCAAAGGGGTTCTGGGGGTGTTATATAGCAGATCATTTATACTGAGAGCTTTTATTACAGGCTCTTAGAAATATTGGCATTGTCACAATAATAAAAATAAAGAAGCAAATAACATTGCAGTTTCTCTCTTCGCTGTAATAAGGGGACTTCATATGCATGTGATGTCCTGAGTACAGCAAATACTCAAATCAAGATACCGCATAATTCTCTAAATAGAATGGTTTCAGTGCGTAAGCTTATACTGAGAAAGTGTTCTGAAGGTCTGTGGGGAGGAGTAGACATGGTCCCGGCCCTCAACATCTTTAATGATGTGTCATGGAAAATGACACAGGTACACAGATAATTAAATCACCACAAAAGAGATAAAGGATGGGGAGTAACATCCTTTGGGGGAATCAGAAAAGGCTTCAGGAACTTGGGGAAAATTTGGAATGGACCTTGAAGCACAGTAAGGTTTCATGAGATGAAGATTAAGGTTGAGAGAGGAGGAAGGATGTGAGAATTTGAGGGACAGGAAAGAAAAGGAACTATCCAAGTGTTCAGTGTGGTTAGGAAACTGGGTTGAGGAATTGCCTAAGACTAGAAAGTGGGCTGGAGTTAGGATGTGTCAGACCATGGCTGACCACTGTTAGGAAGATTTTGTAGTTGTTGAAACAATAGTGACCTCTATGTACATATGTATGTATGTATGTATATGTATGTGTGTGTGTGATGTGCTTTAAATATATATATATATGTAATCTCAAACTTATAGAAAAGTTGCAAGTACAGTAACACTTCATTTTCCTAAATTATTTAAGAATAGATTTCCAATATGATGACCTATCACCCTTCATTATATACTTGAGTATATATTTCCTACAAAAAAAAGTGTTCTGATATAACCACAATACAGTCATCAAAATCAGAAAATTAGTAGAGCTATATTACTACAATTTAATAATCAGATCCATGTGAATTTCACTAAGGTTGGTGGCCTCTGGAAACTGGAAAGGAGATTCATCCCAAGAGCTTCCAGTAAGAAAGGCAACCCTGCCAACTCTTTGATTTTAACCCAGTGAGACCTCAGTAAGACGGCTACAGAACCCTAAGATAGTAAATTGTATTGTGTGTGTGTATGTGTGTGTGTGCTTATGTGTTTAAGCCACTAAATCCATGTAATTTGTTATGGTAGACAATAAAAAAAACTAATACAAATCATTATCACTGTATTTCCCTACTCGGTCATATCACTGTGGTGCCAGGGCGTGTAGAATCCAATCTTCCTATATGTGTGCCTGGCAGTAAAAAGAAAGAAAGGTGATAGAATGTCTGCCTGTTGTACATACAGACTGGAAACAGCATTCTCCTTCAGATGTCTCCTTTAAAAAAAACTTTGCCTATTCTGAAACGCCAGGCATGACTGCGCAACTCTGCCCCTGCCAAGAAGCATTCTTAAGAAATCTGTTTTCCTAAGAACTATCTCTAGAGACGCTCCGAGAAAAGAGCGAGGAAACACAAATTACTTTGTGTTTCAATTTCCTGAATGAAGCAAAGCAAACAAGGTACAGAGTTCGAAGTCCTGACTGCCTAGAGACTGCACAGAGGGCCCAGGAGCAGGTGTACCCCCACAATGGGCGGCATAGCCTCCGCGGGCAGCTCCGGAACAAGGTCTCAACCCCCGCGCTGCCCCACTCCCATCGGCGCTGCCGGCCCCTGCCTCCCTTTGCGGATAATGTCTTGAATAGTGTAGGGGTCTAGGGAAAACTTCCCCTTTGCTCTTTGAAGGGCAAAGGTAGATTAAATAAGAGAAATGGCATATACATTTATTAATGTGCACAGGGGGTAAAATAAAGTAATTATACTACTGTACAATGGAGTAGAGATGGTTATTTTCCCTACTTTTTAGGGGAAAGGGAGATGGGGAAGTGTGGATGATTATAGGGTCAGTAAATGATTTTTAAGGGAATTCAAGGGACTTGAAAAACATACAATGCCCTTGGACAAAGTCTGTTGGGCTTGCAGAGCAGACAGTGGTTGTAACAAAAGTCTCTCCAGGTTTTTTGACAGACTTGGTCTTCTTTCTATGATGTGAATTCAGTTACTAAAAACTCAGGGGGCCGGGTGCGGTGGCTCCCGCCTGTAATCCCAGCACTTTGTGCTGGGATTACAGGTGTGAACCACCGCGCCCAGCTCACAAAGTGTTTATTACTTTCAAAGAGGAAAATAATTGAAGAGAGTACTAAGCTTCAATGAGAGGTTATTAGAAATAAACTTGTACTTTCTTCCCGATCCACATTTATGGACCCAGGGGGAGAGTTTGTGAAAGCTCCAGGAAAGGACACCTGTGTAGAGAAAGCGTATGTTGGAGGCCTTTTGACTTAGTTTACAAGTGGGGAGAACTATAGGAAGAATTAAATATTTTAATCAAAACTTTTGAAAAATGTTAGAAAACCAAAGTAGTATAGTCTTTTAAAATGGAGCATGATAAGATTGGAATATAAAATACAAAGAAACATTAACGTTCATTACTTTCTGTATATTATTTTGTTGAAAAGCAAAGGATTTTTATAATCTTTTTATGTATTATAGGTGTGAAAGTTATTTGAAATCCTGGCCAGGTGTGGTGGCTCACGCCTGTAATCCCAGAACTTTGGGATGCCTAGAGGGGCGGATCACTTGAGGTCAGGAGTTCAAGACCATCCTGAACACATGGTGAAACCCCATCTCTACTAAAAATACAAAAATAGCTGGGCATGGTGGCGGGTACCTGTAATCCCAGCTACTTGGGAGGCTGAGGAAGGAGAATCGCTTGAATCTGAGAGGCAGAGGTTGCAGTGAGCTGAGATTGCACTATTGCCCTCCAGCATGGAAGGCAGGGAGTAACTCTGTCTCAAAAAAGAGAAAAAAAAGAGAGTATTGAAATACAGACTTTGTTTGGATATAAGCCGTATGATAATAAAGACGGATGGTGAGAAAAAAAGATATAGCAAAGAAGAGATGTTTCGTCCATAAAAGGGCAAAAGTTGTTATTTCTTTCTTTTTAAATTTGTGTATATTTACTATGCTTACAATATTTTTTTGTAATATTAGGGAATCATGGAAGCTGACAAAGACAATATACAACAAGTTCTTAAGGAGCATTGGCCAGATGAATTTATGAAAGACGAACAAAACAAGGTAAAAAGGAAAATTACTGGGTACTATTAAAAATTAGTTTATATCTATTAGTTCTGCAGTAAGGCATGTTTTGTATGTCTTTGTCCAACATTGCCTTGAATTTGCAAGGCTGTTAGGCTTTAAAAATTTTTTTTGACTTCCATTATGTTATTTAAGCCTTATAAAAAGTGTCATATTTTTATTCTTTCCCTTACAGGGCTTATAACACTAGCTGCTTTCTCACTCACACCCTCATTTCTTGGATTTGCATCATCAAGTTAAGAGCATAGTTAGCAATTATCTCATTAGACCCCAAGAGGAAACAGAGGCCCACGTAGCTTAAACCCCTTACCTAAGGTCATATGTCTGGCTTGTTAAGGCATCTGTGTACTGTGGGTTACTATGGGAATCACAGATAATCAACAACAACAACAACAACAACTACCACAAAGTAATATGTCCACAATTCCAATAGAATTTAAAACTCTTATCGTAGTCATAAATAGCTAGGAAAGGATCTGATGCAGCACTGAAGTAATAGTTAGAAGATCTGATCTCAATCTTTGCCTTACTATAGAAATTTCTATGACTTTGGTCTGGTGTAAAAGGTGGTTTCCCGGTTTATTTAATGGAGATAGTACTGCTTGGCAGTGTTAGAATAGATAGGTGATGATGTAAAATATTCAACAAATGCATTATTCACATAGTCATATTTACTCTGTAACTGTCTAATGTCCTTTCTTTGTTCAGGATGAGAGAAATGTATCGTCTTTAGTTCATTCAGAAAAATGAGTTCAGGGGCTATTTACTTTCTTTGGTATCATTTGGTATTTTTAAGGGATTAATTGATGAAATTACAAAGAAAAATATTCAACTGAAGAAGGAGATCCAAAAGCTTGAAACTGAGTTACAAGAGGCTACCAGAGAATTCCAGGTACTCTCTTAATTATTTTATATGTGACATTTTTGATGGACACATAGTTTTTGGGAAAAGCACTTTAATTATACAAAATTCATTTTTAAAATGTGTGATTAGCACCCAGATGATAGGCAGAACACGACAACACCTCAGAAACCCCTTTGGGTTCCTTTCTGGGTCCTACCTGCTTCTAAAAGTAATCACTGTTTTAACTTCAAACGTCCTGCTTTTGCTTAATTTAAAGGGAAGCATATGGTATGCCCTCTTCTGTCTTTTTTGTGTTAACATTGTGTTTATGAGACTTGTGCTGCTGCATGTCATTGTGATCTGTTCATTCTCATTGCTGTGTAGTTGTACTTAAGCTCTTGTTGTACTTACAATACATGCGTTTTTCTACTTATGATACATGCATTTTTCTATTATTTATGCACACTTTAACAAATTTACAAAAACAAAAAATTAATAAAATTTACCCAAAAAAGATGGTCATTAGCAAATCATTGCTGGATCAAATTCTGGCTTTTCTCACTGAGTTCTTTTATTCTTCTTCTCATCCACGGTGCTTTGGTAATTTAAATGAGTTTCATGGTTTAAAAAATTGGACATATATTAAACCTTACCATTTAAATTCTCTCCTAAATTGTCCTGTATTTTAATTAAACATAACTTTCACTCTCTTTTTTTCTTAACGACTCAGTTTATTAAAAAATTAAAGCATTGACACTTTTTGTTTCTGAAGTGGGAGATAGGATATTAAATATGGGGAAGTGAGGTTTTTGGTGTTTATGAGATGAGTGCAGAAGACTCTTAAGATTCTGGTACTTCTCAGGCAGGAGCTAGAATCATTTAGTCTTACAACTCAAAGAGCCTTTAGAAACCAGCCAGCCCTAGTCGACCCCCTTTGCAGAGGACCAAAACAGTGATCAGAGAGCTTAAGTGAATTTGCTGTCTGTCGCAGTGTGGTCAGAAATAGAATCAAGCTTTCTCAATCTAATTTCAGAAAGCCCTTGGCTCGTCAGCATATACTGGATATTTCTGCATTATTGGGTAACACTGTGCCTTTTCTCAGACATTGTAAATTGTTTTGAAGTCAGCCTTACTATAATCAGAATCTACACTGGAGTTACGCAAATAATAAGTTTGACTCACTGAATATTTCTAATCTGTTTGTGTTATTTTCAGCATGTAAAATAACCATGGGAAATAGAAATGCAAGCACCCTATCTCATTTGTGCATTTTTATGTAGTTGTATAAATATGCTAATCCCAATAATTCTAAGCAGCTAAGCATAAACACCTATCTTTATTTTTCAGGTTACAATTTTTATTTTTATTTTTTTTTTGAGACAAGAGTTTTGCTCTGGTTGCCCAAGCTGGAGTGCAATGATGCAATCTTGGCTCACTGCAACCTTTGCCTCCTGGGTTCAAGTGATTCTCCTGCCTCAGCCTCCTGAGTAGCTGGGGTTACAGTGCTTGCCACCATGCCTGGCTAATTTTTGTATTTTTAGTAGAGATTGGTTTTCAGCATGTTGGCCAGACTGGTCTCGAACTCCTGACCTCAGGTGATCGGCCCACTTCGGCCTCCCAAAGTCCTGGGGTTACAAGCGTGAACCACTGCATCCAGCCTCAGGTTATAATTTTTGTTCATACTGTCCCTTCTCATTTTTTATAAACCTAACTTGTGGTGATGGGGAAGGTGGAATTTTAAAATTCAATAAATTTAAAATCATCTAATTCTGGGCTGGGCACAGTGGCTCATGCCTGTAGTCCCAGCACTTTGGGAGGCCAAGGTGGGCGGATCATGAGGCCCAGAGATAGAGACTATCCTGGCCAACATGGGAAACCCTGTCTCTACTAAAAATACAAATATCACCTGGGTGTGGTGGCATGTACCTGTAGTCCTAGCTACTCGAGAGGCTGAGGCAGGAGAATCACTTGAACCTGGGTGGTGGAGGTTGCAGTGAGTTGAGATTGTGCCACTGCACTCCAGCCTGGCACCAGAGCGAGACTCCATCTCAAAAATAAAATAAAATAAAAATAAATAATTAAAATAAAATAATCTCATTCTGGAGTCTTTCTTTTTGGATGAAATTATCTGGATTTGAAATACTAAATTATACCCAACTCTGTATTTCATACTTTGCAGTGAAACTAAACATAATATCGAATGATTTCCTTATGAGATAATCTGGTATTGGCACTTTTTAAAACCGTCCTCATATACATGAACGATGTAGGTTTTAGAATTGAGCATCATACAATATTGACAGTTTAAACATTGATTAGAAAAAGTGAGAGGATTATATGTTTTAAATTTCATCTGTGAAATGATATTAAAAGATCAGCATTTGATTACTTTACTGAGTACCTATATGGGAAAAAGCAATTACTAAAGATGTTAAGTAAGACCATACTCAGTATTCTACAAGATTCTAAAACCAGTGAGAATGAATTATTGGATGACCAAATTACATTATCATTGGAAGGACTTAAGTTATTTCTTGTCTTGATTTTATTCAAACGTTTTTATTTGAATTAGATTAAAGAGGATATTCCTGAAACAAAGATGAAATTCATTTCAGTTGAAATTCCTGAGAATGACAGCCAGTTTCAAAATATCTCCTGTTCATTTCAAGTGAGCTCGAAAGTTCCTTATGAACTACAAAAAGGACAAGCACTTATCACCTTTGAAAAAGAAGAAGGTATGACTCATGTTAAAAAATATGACCATGTTATTTGGAAAGCACTTGGACTTTCAAAGATTTTTTCACGGACATTTAGCTATTGTTTTGCAATTTTTACTTATATTATTTCTTATCCTCATATTGACACCCTGAAGCAGGTATGATTATTCCCATTTACAGATGAGAAAACTGACTCTGAGACAAGGGCCTTGAATATGATCTCTTATTTAGAAAGCCATGACTGTGGGACTTAAATTCAGGTGCTGTGATGTCCAATATCAGCCTCTTTCTATTCCACATGCTACCTCCAAATAGTAATGGTAGTAATATTTCAAGGTAGTAGAACTATACCGTTCTCAAATACTCAGACAATTCCATAAATATAGGAGGATAGGATAGTTATTATTGTGTACATTAAATATAGATATGCCATAGCCAAGAAAACAGATTCTGAGGATGTTTAAGGGATTTACCTAAGGGCACATGGCCAACGAATGGGAAGAGCCTAGGAGTTAGAGATTTGGAATGAGACCTGTTATTTGCTAAGTCTGCCATGGTGAGGGCCCCTGTTCAGAACTGGTGGCTCCTGAATGGGGAGGATCTGGCTTTGAGTGCCAGCTTTGTCCCTTCCTAGAAGCATGATGTGGGATGGGTTCTTTATAAACCTCAAGGTTTTATACAGGTGCTTTGTGGTAGTACCTACTTCATGAGGCTGCTTTGAGTATTAAATAAGAAATGTTGATAAAATACTTAACACAATGTTGGACACTTAATAAAAACTTAATAAATGTTGTTATTGTTGATAACGTACTTAGCAAATGTTGATTAAAATACTTAGCACAATGTTGGACACTTAATAAGAGCTTAGTAAATTTTAGTTGTTATTGTTGCTACATGTTAGGAATTTTCCAGATAAGGAAACAGAAACTTAAAGAAGATAAGTAACTTGCTTAAAGTCTATACAGTTAATTGCAGAGCTGAGACCCAACCCCTGACAGTCCATGTACTTCCACTGGGCCAATATTTCTCTCAGTAGGCCACCAGCCCAGGCCTTTGTTCTTTTATTTAAGTTATGTGGTGAAGGACCAAATGGTGTGCCTGGCCCTTCCAGTACTCAGATTCTGAGTCTATAACCCATGTCTCCTGACAACTGGTCCACCACTGTAGCCTAAAAGTAAATGTTAAAAGGAAAGGCATTCTAGCAGGTCAGTGTCTGCACTTAGAAGACATACATTACCAGTGTATTTTCCTTCACCCTGGAGCTACTGCTATAGGTGGGAGTCCGGGACTCACTTTGGTGATTGCTCTTGGTAATCTGGATATAACTAAAAGATAGATATAAATGGGGATTCAGGAGGCAGGGTTTCTGCACAGCAATTTCTTGGGAATGTTGGAAATGGAATTCTCTAAAGAAGCACCTACATTATTGCTTCTACCCTTGATGTGGCTCTGAGCTCCCAATCTCCTGAGACAGCATTAGGTTTAAAACACAATTAAGGAGGAGTCGACTCCTGACTGTCAGAGTCATAAAAGTTGAAACACAAGTGGTCCCTCTCAGCTGCATCCAGATCACCAGATGTTGGGGTTTCGCGGAGGAGTGGGAGGGAAAGAGGATCATCTGAGTATTACTCATTGATATTTTCTGTTATTGTCTGTTGTCATTAGCAAAACAAAACAAAAAACCCCAAAAAACCATCATCCAAGTTATAGAGTCATATTTTGGTACAGTAAGTTCAATTCCCACATGGCCAGGCCCTGGCTTCTGGCCCTTTTTTTCCTCTTCCTGCAGCTGTGGTGTGGTGCCATCTGGTTGTCATAAACACATGTGATGTTTTATAAGATAGAGATTGAACATCACTTATTTTCATGATAAACTGGAATAACAACCCCAAATATCAAAAGTGAAGTGTTATAAACTCATGCCACACAGTTAAAAATAAGTGCTCACTCACATACATTTTAAATTGACATAGAGTTGCTCTTTGGAGTGCTGGTGACTTTTGGCATTTTACTTATCCTCTCCCATTTGCAAGGATAAATTAGACTTGACAGCTTTGCGATCAATATAGTAGGACTATCAACTTTTTAAAGAATGATTTCAAGAGCATGTTTGCAAAAGTAGAATTCGTCATTAAGGATGACAAAAAAAATACTCTTTGATGTTCCAGCCTGTGTAGTCTTTAACGTGTAATGTTTGAGAAGACAGACAAAATGAATATAAATCGCTCTAGTGCTTCTAACATGTTAAGGAGTAACAAATGATAAGGTTAAGTAAAATTAAGATTAATGGTACAAATTTGATACTTAGCCATGAAAGTTTTCCCAGCTTACTCAACATGGGAGAATTTCTGGCTGTACATTAATGTACTAGGGGAATTCTCTGGTAATGCCATTAATAGTAGAAGGAAGGGTATGTGGCTGGACTGAAATAATATATGAATTCTGGAAATTGGTTAGGCTTATCTCTTAAGAGATAAAAGATTCATCTTATGAGATGAATCTAGAACTTGAGAACGTCTACATTGTGATTTTGCTGATGTGCTTTGACATTAATATATTCTACTTTTGGACCAAGAGCAGTGGCTCAGGCCTGTAATCCCACTGCTTTGTTACGGAGGCTGACACAAGAGGATCGCTTGAGTCCAGGAGCTCCAGAGCAGCCTAGGCAATAAAGTGAGATCTCGTCTCTACAAAATGGAGGCATGGTGGCATGCACCTATAATCCTAGCTATTCTGGAAGCTGAGGTGGGAGGATCTGTTGAGCCCAGGAGTTTGAGGTTACAGTGAGCTGTGACCACACCACTGCACTCCAGCCCCGGTGACAGAGTGAGATCCTGTCCCCCTTTCCCCTGATCCTCCAAAATATGTATTCTACTTCAGTGGCAAGACCATTATCACTTAGAACCACCACCCCCCATCAAATTTTTTAAATTAGACCCTTTAATATTAAAGAAAGTTAAAAATAGGATAATTAGTTCTTAAACCAAAAGCATAAAAATGCTTAAAATATCTAAAATTAATACTTCCTTCTTGAATTATTTTTTAGTTGCCCAAAATGTGATAAGAATGAGTAAACACCATGTGCAGATAGAAGACGTAAACGTGGAGGTTACAGCCAAGCCAGTTCCACTAAACTCAGTCGTCAGATTCCAGGTAGCAAGATGTTTAAAATTTTTTGGATTTCTGTTCATCATAGGCACTTCTCTCATCCGTATTTCTGAACACAAACCATTTTCCAGGTTTTTGTAGAAATTTCTAAAATGAAAATCAATGTTACTGAAATTCCTGGCACATTGCCTGAAGATCAGATGAGAGACAAACTAGAGTTGAGTTTTTCTAAGTCCCGGAACGGAGGCGGAGAGGTGGACAGCGTGGACTACGACAGACAGTCCGGGAGCGCCGTCATCACGTTTGTGGAGACTGGAGGTACTCAGGGGTGTAGAAGACACTCTGCCATTTCAGTCATGTTCTGTTGTTCCTGAAAGTATTCTTCTACTTCTTTTATATGGAATGTATTAGCATGATAATTGGGGTTTTAAAAAAACCTTATAAAATGGTAGAGTGTAGAAAATGATTTCCAGGGACAGTACTAGGAATGATAACACTGGTACAAATAATAAGTGTATAAAATCTCAATACATTGTTATTATTTTTTTTCTGTCACTCAGACTGGAGTGCAGTGGTGTGGTCTTGGCTTACTGCAAGCTCTGCCTCTAGGGTTCAAGCGATTCTCCTGCCTCAGCTGGGACTATGGGTGCATGCCACCACACCGGCTAATTTTTTTCTTTTTTTTTAGTAGAGACTGGGTTTCACTACATTGGCCAGCCTGGTTTCGAACTCCTAACCTCATCATCTGCCCCCCTTGGCCTCTCAAAGTGCTGGGATTACAGGCATGAGCCACCACACCCTGCCCGATCTCAGTGCATTCTTAGCACACGCCAGGCATGCTGCTAGGATTCTGTATATTTATCACAACTCTGGAAGTAGGGGATAAACTTATTTATTGACAAGTGAACTGAGGCCTGGGGTAATGAAGAACTTGATGATCACACAGGGTGTGTGTGACAGAGCAATTAAAAAATACATACATATATATATATAACTATCTCTTCCATCTCACTTATTATTATCTACAGCAGTCTCTTAGATGATGAGTATTGATTTCCTCTAGTTATTAGGGCTTTTCCTGGGTTTACACTTATAATAGAAACTCAGCTATACCATTAAAAAACATTAACAGGGCCAGGTGCCTTGGCTCATGCCTGTAATCCCAACACTCTGGGAGGCTGAAACACTTTGCAAGGCCTCAAGAGGATAGCTTGAGCCCAGGAGTTCAAGACCTGCCTAGTCAACATAGTGAAACTCCATCTCTACAAAGTATTTTTAAAAAATTAGCCAGACATAGTGGTGCATGCCTGTGGTCCCAGCTACTCAGGAGGCTGAGACGGGAGGATTACTTGAGCCCGGGAGCTCAAGTCTGCAGTGACCTGTGATTGATACTGCACTCTAGCCTGGGTGACAGAGTGAGATCCTGTCTCAAAGAACAAAATTTTAAAAAATTGATAGATTAGATTTTTTCATGACAAAGTAATACATGCTTTTTTAAGGAAGTTGAAACAATACAGAAAAACACAAATTTAGAAAAAATGAGACATTTTCTCAAACTTCCCTTTCTCCTACGATTTAGTTAGTTATGGTTGTTTGGGTGTCTTTCCAGGCTTTTTCTGGGCACATTAAAACATATCAATATGCTTTGTTTTTTTTTTTTTTTTGAGATGGAGTCTTGCTCTGTTGCCTAGGCTGGAGTGCAGTGGCATGATATTAGCTCACTGCAACCTCCGCCTCCCAAGTTCGAGCAGTTCTCCCACCTCAGCTTCCCAAGTAGCTGGGATTACAAGTGCATGCCACCGTGCCTAATTTTTTTTTTTTTTTTTTTTTTTTTTTGAGACGGAGTTTCGCTCTTGTTACCCAGGATGGAATGCAATGGTGCGATCTCGGCTCACCGCAACCTCCGCCTCCCGGGTTCAGGCAATTCTCCTGCCTCAGCCTCCTGAGTAGCTGGGATTACAGGCACATGCCACCATGCCCAGCTAATTTTTTGTATTTTTAGTAGAGACGGGGTTTCACCATGTTGACCAGGATGGTCTCAATCTCTCGACCTCGTGATCTACCCGCCTTGGCCTCCCAAAGTACCGTGCCTAATTTTTGGTAGAGATGGGATTTCACTATATTGGTCAGGCTGGTCTCGATCTCAAACTCCTGTCCTCAAGTGATATGCCCACCTCAGCCTCCCAAAGTGCTGGGATTACAGGTGTCAGCCACTATGCCCAGTCCAATATGCATTTTTGACCTGAGCTTTTGAAAGATGTTTAGGACATCATGGTGGAGTGTGTTAGGGAGAGCTACAGAAGGAAGGGGTCTTGAGGGCTACCGTATATGTTGTCTTGGAAATGAATGATAACTTGGTGGAAATTTCCATAGTCAAGCATCCAGCTTTTAATTCACCAAATTCATATATTCATTTTGCTTGTTTGCTGTTAGTTTGTCTATATCTTGGATTTTTAAAAATCTCGCAAGGTGCAGTGGTTCATGCCTGTAATTCCAGCATTTTGAGAGGCTGAGGTGGGGGCGGGGATCACTTGAGGTCAGGAGTTCAAGACCAGCCTGGCCAACATCGTGAGTCCTCGTCTTCACTAAAAACTCAAAAATTAACTAGACATGCTGGCTCACGTCCACAGTCCCAACTACTTGGGAGGCAGCGGCAGGAGAATTGCTTTAACCTAGGAGGTAGAGGTTGCAGGGAGCTAAGATTGCGCCACTGCACTCCAGTCTGGGTGACAGACGAGACTCTGTCTCAAAAAGGAAAATAAAAAAAATCCATGAGACAAGGCTGGGTGTGGTGGCTCATGCACTTTGGGAGGCTGAGGTGGGCAGATCCACTTGAGGTCAGGAGTTTGAGACCAGCCTGGCCAACAAAGTGAAACCCTGCCTCTACTAAAAATACAAAAATTAACCAAGCGCGGTGGCTCATGCCTGTAGTCCCAACTACTTAGGAGGCTGACGCAGGAGAATTGCTTGAACCCAGGAGGCGAAGGTTGCAGTGAGCCGAGATTGCATCACTGCACTCCAGCCTGGGTGAGAGAGCGAGACTCAGTCTCAGAATAATAATAATAATAAAGAAAATAAATAAATAAAATAAACTAGAATGCAATTTATAACCCTACTGTGAGAGATAATTCTAGCTTGGGAAACTGTGTTCTTGGGTCATCTGGGGATGCTCTCTTAGAGGTTACATCTAGCCAGAAAGGGAAAAATACTTTTGCAGGTTATAGGTTATCCAACAGGTAACTACTGAAGGATATGAAGGTATTCTAGAGATAAATATTCCAGACACTTCATAAACTGTGCCTTACTGACTCATCACAACAATCTACAGGGTAAGTACTGTAATTATACTTACTTTGCAGAAAATAAACAGGCTTCAAGAAGCAAGCAACATACTCAAGGTTACATAACTCAGAAGTAGCAGAGCTAGGACTGAAGCTGGTCTATTTGACTCAGGACCTGCACTGTTTGTTTTTTTTTTCTTTTTTTAACTGTGATAAAATATATATAACATAAAATTTACCATTTTAAGAATGTTTAAATGTATAATTCGAAGGCACTAAGTACATTCATAATGTTGTACAACCATCACCACTGTTAATCACCCCAAACTGAAACTCTGTGCCCACTTAACAATAATTTTCCATTACCTCTTCTTCCAGCCCCTGGTAATCACCATTCTACTTTCTGTTTCTATGTATTTGCCTATTCTAGGTACCTCACTTAAGTGGAATCATACAATATTTGTCTTTTTCGTGTCTGTCTTATTATGGTTAGCATAATACTATCAGAGTCCATCCATGTTGTGGCATGGATCAGAATTTCATCTCTTTTTTTGAGATGGGGTCTCACTCTATAGCCCAAGCTGGAGTGTAGTGGCACCATCTTGGCTCACTGCAACCTCCACCTCTGGGGCTCAAGTGATTCTCGTGCCTCAGCCTCCCAAGTAGCTGGGACTACTGATAAGCGCCACCATACCCGGCTAATTTTTTGTATTTTTTTTTTAGTAGAGATGGGGTTTCACCATGTTGCCCAGGGAGGTCTCCAATGCCTGAGCTCAGTTGATCCACCCACCTCGGCCTCCCAAAGTGCTGGGATTACAGGCATGAACCACCATACCTGGCCAGAATTTCATCCTTTTTAAAGGCTGGATAATATTCTCCATGTGTGTGTACTTTACATATCCATTTTGTTTACTGTTCATCTGTTGGTGGACACGTGGGCTGCTTCCACCTTTTGCCTATTGTGAAAAATGCTGCTTTGAACATTGGTGAGCAAGTACCTATCCGGGTCCCTGCTTTCAGTCCTTTTGGGTATATACCCAGAAGTTGAATTGTTGGATCATATCATGTTCTATTTTAATATTTTGGGGATATATTTTGGGTCATACTGTTTTCCATAGAGGTTGTACCATTTTACATTCCTACCAGCAATGCCTCGGGGTTTCAGTTTCTCCATATCTTTGCCAATGAGGGCCTACACTCTTAACCACTGTACCATGTTGCTGATCCAAGCTAGATGAGTGGAAAGAGTCATAAAAAGGGTGGTTGGATATTCCCAAGAACTGTTTCTGTTAAGCAAGACTGTAAAGTCTTGACACACGTCCTTTCATCACTCTAGGAGAAAAAAATGTTGCTACAAATAAATCAGACTACTCTTTGTGTTGGAGAAAACAGATGAATTTTTATTTCTTTAGATGACATTCAATCCTCTCCCTGCTTTGGTTAACATCATTACTTCGGTTAATCAAATATCATATATTAGTTAAAGAACTGCCAAGTAATTTACTATGTACATGTGTGTTGGTATATATGTATCTATACATATATTATTATGCATTAAAAATATATTGAAAAAATGTATATAGTATTCTAATCATAGTTTTCATTTATAGCTTTGGAGAAACTGGGAAACACTCCAGTCTTGTTAGATGAGTGGGTTACTTTTGGCAGAAGACTATCATATTTTTCGTAGCCCTAAGTAGATTTGTTTGAGGACATCACAGTCCTTTATGCACTGATTGACTGCAGTGAATAATTCAAGATGGAAGGAAGCCTTTAAACCTCATTATTGTTTGGCCTTGTTGTTTTCAAAATTATGTACTGTGGACTTCAAAGTAGATTTTAGAATTTCTTTCTTTTTTTTTTTTTTTTTTGAGACAGAGACTTACCAGGCTGGAGCCCAGTGGCACGGTCTCCGCTAACTGCAACCTCCGCCTCCCGGGGTCAAGCGATTCTTCCACCTCAGCCTCCCAAGTAGCTGGGACTGCAGGCGCATGCCAAACACCTGGCTAATTTTTGCATTTTTAGTAGAGATGGGGTTTCACCACGTTGGGCCAGGATGGTCTCGATCTCTTGATCTTTTGATCCACCCGCCTCGGCCTCCCAAAGTGCTGGGATTATAGGCATGAGCCACCGCACGCAGCCAATTTCTTAAAAATCAATCTTTCAACTCAATGTTTACTGTAATAGTGTTCTCTTTGAAGGAAGTTTTAACTTTGGTTAAAAATGTTTATGATATAAAAAAGAAAATTATTGTTTTTGCTTTGCTTTTAGTTGCTGACAAGATTTTGAAAAAGAAAGAATATCCTCTTTATATAAATGAAACCTGCCGTAGAGTTACTGTTTCTCCATACACAGAAATGTACTTGAAAAAGTATCAGGTAAAGTCATCTCTTTTCTTTCATTTTCAGAACTCACTGCCCAAACCCACCCCACAAAAAATAAAGTTGTGTGAGTCTGTTACTGTCTGAATCTTATGAATGAGGGATATCAAAATGGTTTCTTCATTTTTGCTTGGTGCAGAATGAGTCTGTCTTTTGAAAGAGCATTTTAATGCAAAACTATACTTTTTTATACAATTTTTAAAACTGAAATTACTCAGATAATAGCACAATTGTTATTTTTGTGCATGGAAACAGCTGGATTTCTCTCATGCATCTGCCATCAGTGAGCTTGAGAAAGACTTCCTGCCTCCCTTCTCTGAACTCATTATCTTTACGCCAGACCTGCTTCCTTTTCCTCTTCCTTGTAAGGTATCCAGTGGTACCACCATCTACCTAGTCCACCAACCTAAAAGCTAGAACTCTTTTTTTTTTTTTTTGGTTGTAAAATAATTTACTAGAGGCACTATTGTTAAACGTCAAACTAATAATTTGTTGCCAATAAGGTACATTATTGTAAACATAACAAAATTTTAAGAGATACTTGGCTAATATGCAAACAATACAATTTTAAGTGACAGCTTTCCTATTTACAAGATCATGTCTCTTCCAGCCATTACAAGGGCATACAGTGATGCCATTGCTCCCAACAGTTACCTGGGAAGGGAGCTTGGAGCTCATAATTGGTTTGAGATCACAACTGCCAAGATCTTTAAAAGCTCCAAAAGTCTCTTCACTCATAAAGGCCAAGCTAGAACTTACACTTAACTCTTCAGTTTGCTTCACCTCTAACATTCATTTGGTCACTAAATCTTCCCAGCTCCACTTCTGACTACCTCTCTACCTGGTCTTTCTGTCCCCAGAGCGTCCCTCCTTTCCTCTATGTTCCATAATGCCGCCAGAGTTCTCTTTCTAAAACTCAGATCTGACTGGATATTCTCTCGCTTGGAAAATCTTCCTAAGATCTCTTGTCTCTGCTAAGATAATATAAAACATATTAAGCGGAGATTATGAATGTAAACTTTCATAATTCAAAGCTCTTAGAAATCTTTCTATTTATCATTTTTTTCCTTCTTAGATATTTTCAGGAATATCTAAAAGGACAGTGCTTCTGACTGGAATGGAAGACGTTCAAATGGATGAAGAGATTGTGGAGGATTCAATTAGCGTTCACTTTCAACGGGCAAAGAATGGAGGTGGAGAAGTAGATGTGGTCAAGTGTTCTCTAGGTCAACCTCACATAGCTTACTTTGAAGAATAGAATCAGAATCATAGCAGAATCATGAAAACTATAGCTTTTTAACTCTGATTACTGCAAATGTTTGACAAAAAAATGTGCTTTTCCTTAAAAAAATAAAAACCTTTATTTTTAGCATCCATTTATTTTTAGATACAAAATTTATTTCCGTGTTTCTGAATCTTCTTTGTTTCCAATGGAGCTGCATGTTTTCAACTACAATAAACGCACTGTAATAAAGTTTTGCTTACAGATTACGTGTATTGGTGCCATGTCTGCTGAAATCAACCTTAAGTGATTCAGATGTCCCCTGCCAGTGCAAGCTCATCCTGTTACGGTCTTGTGGGCCAATTCAGTTGTGGCCCCATGCCCACCAATATGCAGACTTGACTCTTAACAGGTTCCAAAACAAAGGCAGTTACGTTCAGCAGTTTGTGATTCCTGTAAACTCAACTGAAGATTCAAAGACTTCAAGAGCAACCATTTCCCACTGTGCATAGCATCTCACTCCACAAATCCAAAAGTTCTCAGAGCTGAGTGTGGTTTTTCTGTTGAATTTTTGTTCACCCAAGTGCCGAGTGTCCCTTGATTCCTTCCAAGCCATCCCCTCTCCAAATAGAGCTTGTAAAGGACTTTATTTTGCACTTACAATGGAAACAATTGGTGTAAGAATTTGAAAACCTTGGCATGGAGAAAGAGGTAAATACAAAGTTAGTGACTCCGTCACTCATCATATTCTATGCTGGGGAATGCCTGGAGGTAAAAACAGTGCCTGCTCTCCAAGGGCTTAAAGTTTAATTGGAAAGAGATCTAGTTTACTAGCATTTCACTGTTTTTAACTTGCAGACACATTAATGATAAAATTAAAGATTCCCATTCAGAGAAAGTAAAAGTCTTTTTGGTAAAGAGCCTTTAGGCCAGATGCGGTGACTCATGCCACCAGCACTTTGGAAGGGTAAGGCAGGGAGAGGGGATCACTTGAGGTCAGGAGTTTGAGACCAGCCTGGCCGATATGGTGAAACCCTGTCTCTACCAAAAATACAAAAAATAGCCTGGCGTGGTGGCAGGTGCCTGTAATTCCAGGAGGCTGAGGCAGGAGAATTGCTTGAACCCAGGAGGCAGAAGTTGCAATGAGCTGAGATTGCACCACTACACTCCTGTCTGGGCATCGCGAGACTGTTTTTTTTTTTTTTTTTAAAAAGAAACTTTGGGCAACTTCTATTCTGGCATGGCAGGTTTCATGAAGAACTGGCAGCAGAATTAAATTCATATTAAAATGTTGGCAGAAATGAAAGGCTTTTGGAAAAGGTTCTAAACCTATTGAATGCTGCCTGCCATCTCAGACAAACAAAAGGAAAAGCTCAAGTTTTGCTTCTGATATTTTATTTTTAGGTTTTAAAGTTATATTACTCCCAGAAGTACTTGTTTTCACATTTCTTTAAGGAATGAGAGATGGTGCCTAAAAACTACAATTTATGATAAATTTTCACATTTACCATTTAAACGAATCTCTTGTGTCTGTTATTCTTTTAAAATAGAATGACTATTTTAAGCACTCACAAAGATTAAGAAGAAAACTTTAAAGCACCTATTAAATTTCCATTGTGCCAGTCTCACTGGCCCAGGGGGTACTGTCGATAGTTCGTGGCAGATTGCCTATCAGGAAGAATTTTATGTTAATATTTATTTAAGATAAAGTTGAAATAGTCACTTCCGTTTTTTGGGGTGTCCTCTTCAGGCAGTAAAATTGATAATTCAATTCTAAATTTTCATATGTGTTTTTTGATAAATATTTCTAGCTTAGAAAATGATACTTTTCTTTTGGATTTCTTTCAGTCTCACCCTAGAGCAGTCTGGCTGGATGTCAGAAAACAAGCATTGGCTCTCCTGCTTATTCTTAGAGGTTTTTTTTTTTTTTTTTTTTTTTAAGAGACGGAGTTTCGCTCTTGTTACCCAGGCTGGAGTGCAATGGCGCGATCTCGGCTCACCGCAACCTCCGCCTCCTGGGTTCAGGCAATTCTCCTGCCTCAGCCTCCTGAGTAGCTGGGATTACAGGCACGTGCCACCATGCCCAGCTAATTTTTTGTATCTTTAGTAGAGACGGGGTTTCACCATGTTGACCAGGATGGTCTCGATCTCTCGACCTCGTGATCCACCCGCCTCAGCCTCCCAAAGTGCTGGGATTACAGGCTTGAGCCACCGCGCCCGGCTATTCTTAGAGTTTTAGAGATTTTACAGAGGAAAGCTGTCTTTGAAAACTTAACAAAAGTATCATATTGGCTATTTAATTTATTGAATATTAAGAAAGGGGCCTTCAAGTGTATGTCCGAGATGGGCTAACTCCAGACATTGCCAATACGATAAGTCAGATAGATACATATGTAGAATTACAAGTTCCTCTTGCTGTTTGTTGATTTATCAGGCAGGACAGGCTAGGTAATGCCATGGTAACAAACAACCTGCCAAACCTCATGGGCCTCAACAATTCTTACCTGTGCTGATTATCCAGCGCAGGCTGGCAGGAGGACTCTGTTTATCCTCATGACTTAGAGCATCTTGAGACAAGAATCATGGGAGGGTGGGGGAAGGGGAGGAAAGGTGAAATCTGGAAAGTCTTGTATTAGCAATTAAATGCTGTAACCCAGAAGTGATTCTTGTCATTTCTTCTCACATCTCATTGATCAGAAATAGTCACATGGCCCTATTCAAATAGGAGGAGACTGTCTGGGCATGGTGGCTCATGCATGTAATCCCAGAACTTTGGGAGGCCAAAATAGGAGGATCACTTGAGGCCAGGAGTTTGAGACCAGCCTGGGCAACACAGTGAGACCCCATCTCTATTTAAAATCTAAATATATATATATGGAGACTAGGAAATTCTGTCTTATCAAAAGTTAAGAGAACCAGATATTGCTGAGCCAGAATAATAACGAGCATAGCCTACCTGTCTTACCACCAAGATTTAGTTCATTCGTCTCATCACACAAAATGTACTCATAGTCATCTCATCCTTAAGGGAGAAAAACAAAAAATTTCATCCAATAATGATATTAAACTCAAAGTGCACGTTCTAAGTGATCGACCTCAGGTCTGAATGCTGCTCGTCTTTATGCACAGACCCCCACACATCCAATATAGAGTAGTAGGACTAGAATAAGATAAGTGCAATAAACTCTTACGCTTGGAAAGGGAAAGAATGGGAGACACATAGCAGACACTGGGCCAAAGCAATTCTGAAATCCCATTCCGTAGATGTGTGCTCCATATGGAATTTGGATTAGGCCCTAATTCCATTATCTAGAAATTCTCTTGCTCATTGTCCTTATGGCTTTTGAACATTTTTCTTTTTTTTTTGACACTGATTCTCTCTATCGCCTAGGCTGAAATTCAGTGGTGCGATCTCGGCTCACCTCAACCTCCACCTCGCAGTTGAAGATTCTTCTTTTTCCATTATTTTTCTTAGGCATATCTAGAATGAGCATTTGAAATCTATTCTTGCAATCTGAAAAACTTCCTCAGTGCACTTCCTGTGCTCAATGTTTGTGACCAAAGGTTTTAAAGTTTTGAACAGTCATGGTCTCTTCAGTCTGGGGTGGTGTTTATTTAGCTGGTAAAATGGAAAAACTCAATAGGCATCTTGTCTATTTTATTCTAGTAAGCTTACACATCCACAGTTCTTTTATAGGCTTACTTTTTTTTTTTTTGGAGATGGAGTTTCGCTCTTGTTGTCCAGGCCAGAGTGCAACGGTGTGATCTTGGCTTACTGAAACCTCTGCCTCCTAGATGCAAGCGATTCTTCTGCCTCAGCTAGCTGGGATTGCACGCATGCACCACCAGGTCTGACTAATTTCTGTATTTTTAGTAGAGACGGGGTTTCTCCATGTTGGTCAGGCTTGTCTATGAACTCCTGACCTCAGGTGATCCGCCCAACTCAGCCTCCCAAAGTGCTGGGATTACAGGTGTGAGCCACTGCGCCAGGCTGAGTCTTACTTTTTAGAGTTGCTGCTATTCTCTGCTTTCTTAGCCCATGCTTCTTTCACTATTTTTATTTAATTACAGAGACTTTGCATCTATCAGGCCACACTTTTACTTTCATCTCCTTGAACGATTTTGTCCAATTGAAAGGCTTTATTGGATTCCACAAACTTAGTTGGTATTTTCGCTCTGAGGGATCTTAATCTATTTAGAGATTTACACCTGGATTTGATCATTGATTTGATCCCTGCCATAAAGCAGAGTTCTAATCAGTCTTTGTTACTCAACAGGCTTCTTGGTTTTATCATTTACTATTTGGGAATGAGAAATGTTTCCTCCAAACCCATAAGTTGGAAGTTCCTATTTCTGTACTTTATCCCCTTTCATTCCTGCTGTCAAACCGGCCAGTTCTTTTATAAATTCATTTTTTTTCTTATATTACTTTGCTAAATGCACTCAATGATAACAGACAAATACTAGTAACTTTCTGCTTCCCACACTTTAAAAACAACAACAAAAAACAGAAAAAAAAAAAAAAAAACCCTACAAGTTAATTGGGTATATTATCTGCTTTCCAAGCTATCACATGACAGTTCTACAAAGCAATTTTATACTGCATAATGTGGGTCATTCTTCTTCTAATCTCTGATAACTGTTTTCTTATTATCTGCCACTTGGCCTCTAAGCCAAAGCCTTGTATTTCAGGTAGTGCTTGGATTGCGTGTTTTTCTTTTGATGATAGCAGTACTCCACTTTAGAATACCGGTTTCCGTATCAGTCACAATAGACTATCTAATGCCAATGTGAAAATATTTAAAATTAAAAATTTTTAGCCAGGCGTGGTGGCTCAAGCCTGTAATCCCAGCACTTTGGGAGGCCGAGGCGGGTGGATCACAAGGTCAAGAGATCGAGACCATCCTGGCCAACATGGTGAAACCCTGTCTCTACTAAAAATACAAAAAAATTAGCTGGGCATGGTGGTGCGTGCCTGTAATCCCAGCTACTCAGGAGGCTGAGGCAGGAGAATTGCCTGAACCCAGGAGGCGGAGGTTGTGGTGAGCCGAGATCGTGCCATTGTACTCCAGCCTGGGTAACAAGAGCGAAACTCTGTCTCAAAAAAAAAAAAAAAAAATTTTTTTTAAATTTTAAATCTTTAAATTTCAGATGCCAAAAACAACACACATGTATTCCTTCCTCAAGCTCCAAGCCCATGATGGTTCAACAAATAGAGCTCTGCTCATGGTAAACACTTAAGTGACCCAAGCTCACAGCTACCACCATCTTTACTACTGCTGGATGCCATGCCAGAGGAAGAAAAGAGCTTTGAAGAGTCTTTAACTGGTAATTAATTTTTTGGCCCAGAAATGATACTGTCACTTTCACTCACAATCAGAACTAAGCATATGGACCTGCCCAACCATAAAGGAGCCTGGATGTTCGTTCTTACCATATGGTCGGAAGGCAGAAAGCCAAAACCATACGGGGAATAGCATCACAGATACCTGGTTGGTATTAAGAAAGAAAAGGTGCTCAATCTTGAAAAATACACATAGTATAAAGGAGATAATAAAAATCACCAAAAGTCCACCTTCAGAGACAATGGTAAATATTTTTGTGTTCTCCTTTCCATTCTTTTTTTTCCCCCAACCACATTACATATCATACTGTAAATATACCCACATACCCTATGCCATTTATTACTTCCTTAAAGTTGGGATTAAGGTTGTCTCTAATTTCTTAATGTTCTGATATACATAAGTCCTTATATGTCTTGGAACATAAGTCACTTCTGCAGTTCTGACCTTACTTCAAGGTTTTGATTATTAGGTTGAAAGGCAGAAGGACAAAAAACTCTTATAAGGATCTTGTTAAGTGAGGCCAGAATTGCTTACTAGAAAGGTAGGCATTGGTTTGTACTTTCATTAACAGTGTAACAAAGGACCATCTCATTGCTCCATTTCAGCACTGAATACTACTTATCTAAAAATGTTTTCTTTATTCTATTTTTGGAATTTTTCATAACACATCCCAGGGTTTTATGAAAATAAGTAATTACCAAGATACAGGTGAAACAGCCTGTAATGGGTTTTGCTTTAGTTTTTCTGGTATCACAAATTAAAAATGTTCAGGAATGTTGACCAACTTGATTTTATTAAAGCTTCAAGACAGAACAGTACAGTGAGGCAAGAGACCTTATAATTGGGGCTATAAGATGTTAAAATATTCTCTTTGATGCAGCTTTAGTTAGTAATATGCTGCTAAAAATTATTCTGCCACATTTGGAATCCTCTTTCTTCAAGGGTGTTGAAATAGTTTGGCACATATATGATTAAAGGTTACTCTAGGTCATGTTTGACGGCGCAGACAGGTTGACCTGAATTCCCAACTCGAATCCTAGACCTCTCGTCATTTTCTGGAGAGGATGGAGACTTCAGTTATGAGTTAGAGAAAGCATGAAAGACATTCAATATGAGGAAATATAGAAAGACATTTTTGGGAGGCTGAGGTAGGTGGATCACCTGAGGTTGGGAGTTTGAGACCAGACTGACCAACATGAAGAAACCCTGTCTCTACTAAAAAATACAAAATTATCGGAGTATGGTGGCACATGCCTGTAATCCCAGCTACTCAGGAGGCTGAGGAAGGGGAATTGCTTGAACCTGGAAGGCGGAGGTTGCGGTGAGCCGAGTTAGAGCCATTGCACTCCAGCCTGGGTAACAAGAGTGAAACTCCATCTCAAAACAAAACAAGAACAACAACAAAAAGACATTTTCAGAAAGGTGCCAGGGTTATTAAGATGGTATAACAGCGTGAGGGAATAATGATTAAGAAAATAAACTTAGACTGGGTGATGAGAGTTAGCCTTTCTGAAGAGAAGTTGTTGTAGCTAAGGTCCAAATGACAGCAGGAGCCAGTGAAGTGACGATCAGTGAGGAGCTATGAGGCAGGGACACGGTACACAGGTCAGGCAAAACTCCCAGGCTGATGGCTTGTGATTGCCACAGAAGGTCAGGGCGGTGACAGGAGATTTGGCCAGAAAAGAATGATGAAGGTCATTGTCGTCTCTGGTGAAAGCAACGAAAACAATGAAGTGTTTAAACAGAAGTCGAACCTGATTTACATTTTTAAAAGATCCTTCTGGGTGTGGTAGCAAGAATGGACTGAGGAGTTAGAGAAGGAGACTGGACGAGGATGCAGCTGGAAAGGGACTGATACTGGGTGTTCTGGAAGGCTTATTGTTGGGGCATACTAAGAAGGATGAGGGAAGGAGAAATCAAGGACTGGGTTGTGAGCTTGAGCTCATGGGTGGGAAGTGCTGCCGATTCTTGAGGGGGAATTAAGGGGAGAAGAGTTCTACTTGTTAAATTTCAGATGCTTGTTTGACCTTCAAGTAGGTATTTAGATACATAAATCTGGAGATTAAATATAAATCAGGGAATTACATATAGATCTACCTCATTCTGTTTTTTTTTTTTTCTTCTTCTTCTTCTTGAGATGAACCCTTGCTCTGTTGCCCAGGTTGGAGTGCAGTGGTGTGATCTCTGCTAACTGCAACCTTTGGTTCCTGGGTTCAAGCGATTCTCCAGCGTCAGCCTCCTGAGTAGCTGGGATTATAGGTATGTGCCACCGCGCCCAGCTAATTTTTGAATTTTTAGTACAGACAGGTTTTGCCATGTTGCTCAAGCTGGATCTGCCCACCTTGGCCTCCCAGAGTTCTGGGATTACAGACAGGCGCTACTGCCCCCAGCCTAACTCATTCTGTTTAAAAATCTTCATAGCCTCATGCCTTACTGATATACCATCAGCCATATAATAAATAGCTCCATTCGTTGATAAACTAGGTGGATCCCAGTTTATAGAAAAATTATTACAACCTGTATTTCAAGCTATGCACAAATAAAATTTCTATTCAATATCTTAGTGCCATTTGTGCACTATAAGTTCAGTTCTAAAATTAGAATTGCTGAGACTAAGGATGTGTGCAATTTTACATTTTTTTGCACTTTACATTTTGATAAAAATCTTTAGAAGTATTTACATCTGTCATGTTTGCAGCAACTCTGATGTTTTCTCACATTCATGCTAACACTTCAGTTTCGTAGATCTACTCATGGAAAAATGGTATCTTACTATCTCAATTTACATTTCTTAGGAGTGGGATTGAGTTTCTTCATAGCTGCTAACCATCTGCCTTTGTTCTTCATGCATTCATTGATTTGATTTTGAAGTTTGTCCAGAGATTCCTTATGTCCCCATAGGCGCCTGATTCAGGGGTCCTGTACTAAGGCATGGACAAGATGGTGAGCTCTCTGTTGGCAGGGACCTGGCACTTTTCATCCTGTGCCCTTAGCACCCGGCAGAGGTCCAAGAGGGCTCCAGGTCTGTGCTGGGAAGGTGAGGAATGCAGGGTTCGGAGTCAAGGTGGGGTAGGTTGTGCAGAGGAAAGGCACAGGTGAGAAGTGGGGGAAGGGGAAGAAGGCTGGACGGATGATAAAGGCCAGGAAAGGCATCCAGATTTCACTGACTGCAGGGCTTTTCAAAACTGACGTTAGAAAAACTTTACTTGCTATTGCAAAAAACCATCTGTGTGAAGTAGAAATTGGTATCAATTATAGAGAATATATTCTAGAAAGTAGAGGTAGCTGGATGTAAAATTCTGGCAGCAGTTTAATATCCCAGATGGTTAGGTTGAGGTCAACACCTAATGAGAAAAAAACCTTCTCTATGGGAAATTATGGACAATTATACGGAGAAATATTACAGTGTGCATAAACCAATCTGAATTGTTTTCAAAAGTGTTGCATGTTGCAAAGTTTCACGTAGTACAAAGGTTTTAGCCACATGCCCTTCAGTTTTGTGGCATCGAATATATAAACACAGAAGAGAGCATGCATGCGACATATTTAACTCCCTTACATGATAATGCATGCCATTCAAAACTGTCAATGCCATCTAGGGCTCTCTGAAAGTAGGAGACGATTGATTTTACGAAAAGCATAGCTCCCATTCTTTCTTTCTTTCTCTCTCTCTCCTATCTCTCTCTCTCTCTCTCTCCCTCTCTCTCTCTCGAGACGGAGTTTCGCTCTCTCTCTCTCTCCCTTTTGAGACGGAGTTTCTCTCTCTCTCTCTTTTGAGATGGAGTTTCGCTCTTGTTGCCCAGGCTGGAGTGCAACGGCACGATCTCGGCTCACCAGGTTCGAGCGATTCTCCTGCCTCAGCCTCCCGAGTAGCTGGGATTACAGGCATGTGCCACCACGCCCGGCTAATTTTGTATTTTTGTAGAGATGGGGTTTCTCCCTGTTCGTCAGGCTGATCTCGAACTCCCGACCTCAGGTGATCCGCCCGCCTCGGCCTCCCAAAGTGCTGGGATTACAGCCACCGCGCCCGGTTGCGTTTTCTTCTTTTTAAAAATCAACTCTGTTGTTGTTGATGCTGCTTAGCAAAACGGGTAAAAACAAAATTGCAATCACTGATGCATTACCCAGAGAATCCCCAAACTTCCTGTCGGGGAATCCTCTCGGCTTCTCTCCAGCGTGCTTCCAAAAGTTGCAAAACTACCAAGGGCGTCTGGGCAGGCGCTGGCAACAGCACTCCGGAGTCCGAGCTCCCACCCAGAGGCCACGAGGTCTCACAACAGCCACGACCGGTGGAAGGGCCGCCCTTTTTTTTTTCGTAGTTTCCAAGGGAGCGGGAACAAAAAACGAAACCAAAACCTGCCTGCTCGGTCCACTCCCCACCTCGCGCGTTTCTCTGGCTGTGGGCTTCCTGCGGCCGCCGAGGGCGCCTCTCTGCTCTGACATGGCAAGTTGCTTTTGCTTTGGGTTTTGCGGTGTAGGTCCCTGCATGTACCGTCGCCATGGTCCCCTGGAAAGGCGCGCAACAGGGCGGAACGGCCCAGAGTGCAGGGCTGCGCGGGAAGGGGCGGTGCGCGGAGGGGCCCTGGGGGACCTGGGCGCGCAGGCCACCCAGGCGGGTGAACGCAGGTCAGCCTTGCTGCGCCTTCCCGGGTGGCGGCACTGCGCGCTCCTGAAATTCGCATTCGGCGGTGCCGGATAGGCCAGCTCCAGAGGCGCAGGACGGGGCTGCCACCCTCCCCCGCGCCAACTGCCCGGGCGACAGGGACTTCGCTGTTTTGGGCAGGCTGTTAGGGCCTCCTTCCACGCCTCAGGGCAGCAGAAGTGCACGGATTACCCGGGAATGGAGGCCACAGCTGCCTTTTGCAAAGGGCTGGTAGGAATGATTCGAGCCAAGGACGCAAGTCAGGAAGACATCCTGATGTCTTCTGTCTGCCTTGGTGCGAATTCTTATCTTTTGTGGTCTTAGTTGTTTCTCCAGAGACACAAAGAGCGCTGCGTTTTTACCAACAGTCTGGTGAGGAAGAGGAGTTAGCAAATTCAAGATTTAGCCTTCTGTGTTTTGTTTTGTTTCTGTCAATCGCTTAAAAGCCTTGACAGGGCCTTTAATTCCTGCTCTGAAATGGTAGAGACCCGGAAATGCAAAAGCAATTGTGAGAGGCGAGTGCGTTTTTGTTGACCTTGTGGCAGTAAAGGCATCGTCAATAAAAATAAACAACTGATTTTGAGATGATTAATATAAACAAATGCAGCGAATGAATCTTCTGATGGTTTCTTCCCAGTGCCTTGCTTACAAAAGTAAAGCTTCTCCATATACGTTGTGCTTTCTGTTAAGATGGCCAAGTTTGTTACAACATAACATTGATGCAAGGAAAAGCGCCATCACCTTACTCTCTCTTGCCTTAAAGCTGCTCGTTTCAGAGTTCTTGAAAGGACTCTTTCTCTATGACATTTCTTTATCTTAATAGTGGGTAGAAGAAATTAATAAGTGTTATCATTCATAATTGACCTCAGTAAAATTATCTATGTTAGCCATACTTTCTCCAACCTATGAAAGGAAGTTAAGGACAAATATTGGCAAGTCACTAAAGTACTAATTCATTAGATGATTCCTGGAAACTACTTCTTTTTTTTTTTTTTTTTTTTTTTTTTTTTTTTTTTTTTTTAAGACGGAGTTTCGCTCTTGCTACCCAGGCTGGAGTGCAATGGCGCGATCTCAGCTCACCGCAACCTCCGCCTCCTGGGTTCAGGCAATTCTCCTGCCTCAGCCTCCTGAGTAGCTGGGATTACAGGCACGCGCCACCATGCCCAGCTAATTTTTAGTATTTTTAGTAGAGACGGGGTTTCACCATGTTGACCAGGATGGTCTCGATCTCTTGACCTCGTGATCCACCCGCCTCGGCCTCCCAAAGTGCTGGGATTACAGGCTTGAAACACCACGCCCGGCCTCTGGAAACTACTTCTTATAAAACAAAACTTACATCTTTATTTTTTTTTCTCCTAAAAATACTGGCTCAGGGAGAAGTTTCTTTAATTTTAAAGATTAATTACATGTAGACATTTGAATGAAGAAATACAGTATTAGTACTAATGAGAGCATAGAGCTGATGGAAGATTTTCTGAGTTTAAATTGATTGCCTGTTTTTCTTTGACATTGTTGGGGTGCAGAAAACTATCTCCTGGCGGGGCACGGTGGCTCACGCCTGTAATCCCAGCACTTTGGGAGGCACGTGGATCACTTGAGGTCAGGAGTCTCTACTAAAAATACGAAAATTAGCTGGGCGTGATGGCAGCCAACTGTAGCCTCAGCTACTCGGGAGGCTGAGGTGAGAGGATCTCTTGAGCCCGGAGGTGGAGGTTGCAGTGAGCCAAGATTGTGCCATTGCACTCCAGCCTGGGTGATAGAGCGAGACTCCGTCTAAAGAAAAAAAAAAAGAGAAAAAAGAAAACGATCTCCCAAAATAAATAAAAACAAAGGCTGGGTGCGATAGCTTGCACCTGTAATCCCAGCACTTTTGGGAGGCCGAGGCCGGCAGATCACCTGAGGTCAGGAGTTCCAGACCAGCCTGACCAACATGGAGAAACCCCATCTCTACTAAAAACACAAAATCAGCTGAGCTTGGTGGTGGAGCATGCCTGTAATCCCAGCTACTCCGGAGGCTGAGGCGGGAGAATCGCTTGAACCCAGAGGCGGAGGTGGTGGTAATGCCATTGCACTCCAGCCTGGGCAACAAGAGCGAAACTCTGTCTCAAAAAAAAAAAAAAAAAAAAAAAAAAAAGAAAGAAATAAAGCCAAATGCAGTGAGTCAATCTTCTGTTTCTCCCTAGTGCTTTACTTAGAAAAATAAGCAGTTTTTCTTTATACCTTTTTGCTTTCTGATGTGATGGCTCTGCCTTTATTCTTACGTTGACAAGGTTGACCATTTCTATTTTTTTGTAACCATATTTAAATCTTCAATATTTTTATTTTTATTTTTGAATCAGACTCTCACTCTGTCACCCAGCCTGGAGCGCAGTGGTGTGATCTCAGCCTACTGCGACTTCCACCTTCCCGGTTCAAGCAATTCGGGTTCCTTAGCCTCCAAAGTAGCTGGGAATTACAGGCACCTGCCACCACACTCAGCTAATTTTTTGTATTTTTAGTAGAGATGGGATTTCACTGTGTTGGCCAGGCTGGTCTAGAACTCGTGACCTCAAGTGATCTGCCCACCTCAGCTTCCCAAAGTGCTAGATTACAGGTGTGAGGCACTGCACCTGGCCCTTTTTTTTTTTTTTTTTTTAAAGACTTAGCAGGTTTGGTCTAAAAGTGAAAAACTGATAATGATGTAAATAATAAATATTGTTTATAGCAGGTCCCAATAGTGTGCTGTGATTACTTTTTCTCCTTTTGGTCCAATTGTTTTGTGTATTTTTCCTTTTCTACTTCTAGGAAAAAGTTTCCAACAAATGGGTCAAATGTATTTTTTTCTTCCTTTGTTTTTTTTTTTTTTTTGAGATGAAGTCTTGCTCTATAGCCCAGGCAGTCTGGAATGCAGTGGTTTGATCTCGGCTCACTACAACCTCCACCTTCTGGGTTCAAGTGATTCTCCTGCCTTAGCCTCCCAAGTAGCTGGGACTACAGGCATGTGCCACCACACCCAGATAATACTTGTATTTTTAGTAGAGATGGGGTTTCGCCATGTTGGCCAGGTTGGTCTCGAACTCCTGACCTCAGGTAATCTGCCTGCCTTGGCCTCCCAAAGTGCTGGGATTACAGGTGTGAACCCCTGTGCCCGGCCTGCATTTCATAGTTTACTCAAAATCATGCAAGTACTTTAATTTTCTTACGATTTTTAGCCTGGGGCCCCTTCAAATCCCAAAAATGGGAGAGAACTTGCTTTGGGATAGACATGCTAGCAGGTTCTCTCTGGAGTGTTCATTCAGGCAGTTTTTTTTTTTTTTTTTTTTGAGACAGAGCCTTGCTGTCACCCAGGCTGGAGTGCAGTGGTGCCATCTTGGCTTACTGCAGCCTCAACCTCCTGGGCTCCAGTGATCCTCCTATCTCTGCCTCTGGAGTAGCTAGCTGGGACTACAGGTGTGTACCATCACACCTGACTAATTTTGTGTGTGTGTGTGTGTGTGTGTGTGTGTGTGTTTTGAGGTGGAGTCTTGCTTTGTCGCCCAGGCTGGAGTGCAGTAGTACAATCTGGGCTCACTACCACATCCTGGGTTCAAGCAATTCTCCTGCCTCAGCCTCCCGAGCAGCAGGGACTACAGACGCATGCCAGCATGCCCAGCTAATTTTTTGTATTTTTAGTAGAGATGGGGTTTCACCATATTGGCCAGGCTGGTCTCAAACTCCTGACCTCATGATCCACCCGCCTCAGCCTTGCAAAGTGCTGGGAATACAGGCATGAGCTACAGTGCCCAGCCAATTTTTTGTTTTTGATAGAGACCGGGTTTCACCATGTTGGCCAGGCCAATCTGGAACTCCTAGCCTCAAGTGATATGCCCACCTTGGCATCCCAAAATGCTGGGCACGAGTCACTGGGTCCAGTTAGGCTTTTCAGGCTTTTTTTTTTTTTTTTTTTTTTTTTTTTTTTTTTTTTTGAGACAGAGTCTTCCTCTGTTGCCTAGGCTGGAGTGCAGTGGTACGATCTCGGCTCACTGCAGCCTCTGCCACCTGGGTTCAAGTGATTCTCCATCTCAGCCTCCCGAGTAGCTGGGATTATAGGTGCCCACCACCACGCCCAGCTAATTTTTGTATTTTTAGTAGAGACGGGGTTTTAACCATGTTGGTCAGGCTGGTCTGAAACTCCTGACCGCAGGTGATCTGCATGCATCTGCCTCCCAAAGTGCTGGGATTACAGGCATGAGCCACCGTGTGCAGCCCAGGGTTTTATATTTTTTTATGGTAACTTTCCTGATTCTGACAATAAAAGTAGGGGGATGTGTTTCTTACTGTCTCTCTCTCTCTCTCTCTCTCTTTTTTTTTTTTGAAATGAAGGTTTGCTCTTGTTGCCTGGGCTGGAGTGCAATGGTGTGATCTCAGCTCACCACAACCTCCACTTCCCAGGTTCAAGCAATTCTGCCTCAGCCTCCCAGGTAGCTGGGATTACAGGCATGTGCCACCACACCTGGCTAATTTTGTATTTTTAGTAGAGATGGGGTTTCTCCATGCCGTCAGGCTTGTCTTGAACTCCTGAGGTCAGGTGATCTGCCTACCTTGGTCTCCCAAAGTGCTGAGATTAGAGGTATGAGCCACCATGCCTGGCCTCTTAACTGTCTTATGTACTTTAGACACCACAGTGTAAAGAAAACATACAGCCACCTTCAAACACTTCAAACATGGTTAGTTTGACTGATTTTTAATTAATATTTTTTAAATTTATGTTTTTGATCTTTTCCTTTGTAACTTCTTCCATTATTTTTAGGCCTTCCTAAATCAGACAAATATTAACCAATATTTTCCACTTATAAAAAGTGTGGCCAGGCATGGTGGCTCATGCCTGTAATCCCAGCACATTGAGAGGCTGAGGTGGCAGATCACTTGAGGTCAGGAGCTTGAAACTAGCCTAGCCAACAGGGTGAAACTTCACCTCTACTAAAAAAAAAAAAAAAAAAAAAAAAAAATTAGCAGTAGGGGCCTATAATCCCAAGTACCCCAGAGGCTGAATGGCTGAATGCTTGAAGCCGGGAGGCAGAGGTTGTAGTGAGCCAAGATTGTGCCACTGCACTTCAACCTGGGTGACAGAGTGAGACTGCATCTCAGAAAAAAAGGGTTTAATTTTTACATTTAACTCTCAAATTCATATGGAGTTCATGTTAGTATATGGTGTGAAACAAGGATTTACTCCCTTACACCCCTTTAAAAAAGTATGTAACCAACTGCACCAGCACTTTTATGGAATAAGATATTCTCTCCAGTGGAGTGTGATGTTGCCTTTATTAAGTAGAGCCTTGTATTTTTAAAGAGTAACTTACTGTTTCTCTTACAGGCATCAGTTTTGAATGTCAAGGAATCCAAAGCTTCTGAAAGAACAGTTGTAGTTGCTGGTCTTCCAGTTGGCCTTTTTATTGATCAGTTATTGGTCATATTAGTGAAGAAGTACTTCCAAGACATTAAGAATGAGGGTGGAGATGTTGAAGATGTGATATATCCAACAAGAACTAAAGGAGTTGCATATGTAATATTCAAAGAAAAGAAAGGTATTTCCAAATCAAATTTTTGTAATTTTAGAAATACTACTTCAATGAAATTTGAAAATTATATTATATTAAAATGATTAATGGAATTGGTAAATTTTAAAGTAGCTTTCTTTTGTTTTGTTTTGTTGTTTTGAGATGGAGTCTTGCTTTGTTTCTTAGGCTTGAGTGCAGTGGTGTGATCTTGGCTTACTGCAACCTCCACATCCTGGTTCAAGCAATTCTCCTGCCTCAGCCTCCTGAATAGCTGAGATTACAGCTGCCCACCATCACACTGGCTGATTTTTGTATTTTCAGTAGAGATGGGGGTTTCACCATGTTGGCCCAGTTGGTCTCGAACTCCTGTCCTTAAGTGATCCACCTGCCTTGGCCTCCCAAAGTGCTGGGATTGCAGGCATGAGCCACCATGCCTGGCTAAAGTAGCTTTTATTAAAAAATATTGTATTGTGAATATACAAGTGGCATGATAGTGCTTTAGGAAGAAAAGATATGAAAATGGCTCATGATAAAGTGACTGGCAAATTCTTGAAAACTTTTTTCTGTATTTTGAATCTGCCTACATCTTGGGGTGAAAGTGTTACATTTTATTTTAGAAAACCTGTAAAATACAGACAAAATGGAGAAAAACCCCACAAAGTTTATATATAATTTCATAAACAAGATTTCTATTTTGGGAATTTTCAGGTGGCTTCAACTATATATTTTAGAATAAATGGATATTTTAATATAGTATCTGCCTTATTATTGGCAAAGTTGAATTGAGAAGTGTGGCTTGGATCTGAGATCTGATTGACCCATTCTCCTCCCTATACCTAATCCCTGGCTTAGATGGTGAGAAAGGTGGGTTGGCAGAGCACACACCCCTTCAGCCTCACAGAATGGGCAACCTTCTTTATTAGTGGCTAGCAGAAAATACTTTGCCAGAGAAAAACAGGTCTCTGTGCCAGCCTCTTAGAGGTGAACATACGACATGAGGGCAGGAGCAAGGGAGACCTTGCTTTGCTTGAGGGAAGTCAGAGTCCAGAGAAAGAGCCAAGGTATATGGATTTTCAGTACCTTTAGCTGTCACCACGAATTAAATCATTCCTTCTCAAGGGGGATGTTCAGGTAAGGGATGGCAGGAGGGGCTCAGGGGCTCATTGTTTCTCTAAGGAGATGGTAGCATTTTTGAAAGTTAGTATTTTATACTGTATGTTGAATTGGCAACTCGGAGAGAGACCGAGGCCTCAGTCATTCATTCATAAATATTTTCTGAGTACCTATTATTTACCAGGCAGCATGCTAGGCCTTGAGGATACAGCAATGAGTGAAATAGGCAAAGTCTTTTTTTCGTTGAATGTACGTCTGGACAGATACTAAACAAATAAATCTGTCATATGTTGGGTGCTTTATCTGTGTAAAATTTAGATATTTGTTTATTTATATTTATGACTATATGTTTATAAATAACAAGATATAAAGCTTGAGCAGAGGCCTGAATGAAGTAAAGGAATGATTCATGCAGATAAGTGGGGAGAACATTCTAGGCCAAGGGAAGGACTGGTAGTTCTGCGAGTGGGGAGCGTTCTGTGTGTGTGTAGGAACAGCAGGGAGGCCTGTGTGGCTGGCTGCAGGGGAATGAGCAGGGGGAGAGTGATAGGCGATGTGGTTAGATGGGGAGCTGGGGCCAGTTTATGCTCAGGAACCACTGGATCATGGCAAGGTGTCTGGGATTTTCTTCTGGGTGAGAGAGAAGGTTTCATGCAGGGGATTAACAAGATTGGACTGCCTTTTCTTAAATAAGCAGCATAGCAGCTGTCTGAAGAACAGGAGTTACTACTTATCGTTGGCTTTGATAGGGCAGGAGCAGGGCGGGTGATAAGAACTGGTGGGTATTCGGGACATGTTGATGGATTAAATGTCATTTTCTGTGGTGGAGAACACTGAGGATAGAATACATTTGGGCGGGAGATCATTATCAAGAGTTCAGTTAGAGTCAATGAGATGCCTATTAGGATAATGAGGTAGAGAGTTCTACAGGCAAAAGGGAGAAAGATCGAGGCTGAAGATAGAATTTTGAAAGCGATTCATGTAGAGATGGTATCTAAAGCCATGGAAATTGTTGCAGTCTCCACCCAGGGGATGGGTGTATGTTAGCAAAGAAGCATGAGCCTCAGGTCCAGGTCTTGCCAACGTCTAGAGAATGGGAAGAGAGGAGGATTCGGAAGGAGACTCAGCAGGTCAGCCAAAGAATTCGGAGGAAAACCAGAACAGTATGATATCTTGGATCAAGAGTGTAACACCTCCTTTGACCAGAATTAACAGAGATGGGGATAAACCTTTATATGTTTGTTTTTTATTCATGCATATAATACCTTGTGTGTTTTATAACGTGATTAGGATCATATTTACACATAAAATGAACTTTAATGTGTTAAAGTGCACCAAAAAAGTGGTTTGAATGTTGAATTTAGAGGAAAAATGTAGACAAAATTGTAGACATTCTTATATAATATAATTGAATATGTCTATTTTGTAAAAAAAAATTATTAGTGTATCGTGCCATAAACACTTCTGATGCCAGTGTTTTCACTTAGTTGCAGAGAATGTCATCAGACAAAAGAAACACCGGCTAGCAAGGAAGGCTGGACATGCTGAACTCACCGTCTCTCATTTTAGTGACAAGGTAAGGTGTGATGCCGAAGGTGTGCTGATGGTCCTGGATCCCATTTCCTATGTCAGGAGACACGAAGTGCTCTCACTCCATGACTTCTAGGAAAGAAAATGCAAACTCCCTGAGTCAATGTTAAAGGCCACCGCTGGCTCTTGAAATTTTGGTTATTATTGCCTCCTCTGTTTTTATCTTTCTATGTGTGTCACTTAATGTTTTATTTTAAAAAACATGTATTTCTTAAGACAAGGTCTTGCTGTCACTCAGGCAGTGGCTTAATCTTGGCTCATTCTAATCTCTGCCTCCTGAGCTCAAGTGATTCTCCTGCCTCAGCCTCCTGAGTAGCTGGCTGGACTACAGGTGTGTACCACCAGGTCTGGCTAATTTTTGTAGTTTTTGTAGAGACAGGATTTCCCTATGTTGCCCAGGCTGGTCTCAAACTCCTGGACTCAAGCGATCCTGTCACCTCAGCCCCCACAAAGTGCTGGGATTACAGGGGTGAGTCACCATGCCCAGCCTCACTTAATGCTTTTAAAGTGACGGTAAGCACTTACACTGTCATGGATGATGCCAGGTACCAACCTAAACAATTAGAATGAACACTGAAAAGGGGCTTTGAAGAGACAGGAAGTAAGAAAAAGAGGAAAAAGTTAAAGCAGTGGTTTACTAACTTGATTCCTTTTTCTTTTGAAATGGAGTTTCACTCTTGTTACCCAGGCTAGAGTGCAATGGCATGATCACTGCAACCTCTGCCTCCTGGGTTCAAGTGATTCTCTTGCCTCAGCCTCCTGAGTAGCTGGGATTACAGGTGCACACCACCACATCTGGCTAATTTGTATCTTTAGTAGAGACAGGGTTTCTCCATGTTGGTCATGCTGGTCTTGAACTCCAGACCTCAGGTGATCTGCCCACCTTGGCCTTCCCAAGCTGCGGGATTACAGGTATGAGCTACTGTGCCCAGCCACTAACTTGATTCTGTAAGACTACTCAGAGTTGTGTGCAGCCATCTGATGAACTTCAGACTGGAGGTGGGAACGACTCTTTTTTTTTTTTTTTTTTTTTTTTGAGACGGAGTTTCGCTCTTGTTACCCAGGCTGGAGTGCAATGGCGTGATCTCGGCTCACCGCAACCTCCGCCTCCTGGGTTCAGGCAATTCTCCTGCCTCAGCCTCCTGAGTAGCTGGGATTACAGGCACACGCCACCACGCCCAGCTAATGTTTTGTATTTTTAGTAGAGGCAGTGTTTCACCATGTTGACCAGGATGGTCTCGATCTGTTGACCTCATGATCCACCCACCTCGGCCTCCCAAAGTGCTGGGATTACAGGCTTGAGCCACCGCGCCCGGCGGGAACGACTCTTTCGGGACCCCCATCTAAGCAGCACCAGAACAGTTTATATGTATGGGTTCTGCATAAGACTGTTTCAAAAAACAATTGTGCCTCTAAAAATTATTTGAGTATATCTGTTTTGGGGTATGTGATGAGGGACTGTGAATCCCAAATTGAACAAAATGGGATCACTGTGATGGGCTACCCTGGTGCAAGGAATCAGAAAGTCTGGGACAGGCAACTGGGGCCTGGTTTAATGCAATTTCTGCAGAGACAAGAAAGTGGCAGAAAAGAACATGTTTTTGTAGTCTCTTCCACTAGGCAGTACTATTTTCATTTCTCTCTTTCTAATTTTAGATCTTCAGCTCTGTAAATGCCATCCTTGATCTTTCTGTTTTTGGGAATGAAGCTTCTCTAGAAACTCTGGTAAAAGACCTGAAAAAGAAAATCCCAACTTTAAGCTTCAGTCCTTTGAAACCCAATGGAAGAATCATCGTGGAAGGATCATTTCTGGCTGTCAAGAGGCTCAAAGAATCTTTGCTAGTAAGAGCAAGCTCTCTCTTAGAAAAAACTAGAAATTTTACCAGTGAGGGAAGAAAGTGGAATAGACAAAATCCCCAAAAGAATCTACAGAGAAGTACTAACTCTTTGGTGTCAGTCAGGACCTTAGTACCCGAGACTGCTAGAAATGGAGAAATGCTTGTGCTTGACACAGACATTTTTCTTTACCTGAAACACAAGTGTGAATTTTATGAAAGCACACTGAAAAAATTCCACATTCTTAGTCAGGAGAAAATAGATGGTGAAATCACCACCATTTACTTAGAAAACTTTCAAGTTGGTTCTCAGCCAAATAATGCAAACCATGTAAAAGAGCTCATTGAGGAATGGTCACAGGCTCTTCACTTAGAGCTTAGAAAAGAGACATTTATTTTGAAAGGAAAGGAAACTAGAGAGAAAAGAATGATCAAATCGGCATGTGAACAATTAAGTTCAAGATACCTTGGAGTCCTCATGAGCTTTTATAGGACACACATTGACATTATAGGATCTTCTTCTGACACTTACCTGTTTAAAAAAGGGGTCATGAAATTAATAGGGCAAAAGGTTAGTTAATAAAATCTCAGCAATATAGTGATAAGGGCTGCTTTCTCTTGCTGAGCAGTGACCATTGCCATGAATGAGGCTAGCTTTACACGCCCTATTTTATTAATCTTTATACTTGCTCAAACTTCCTTGTCAGTGTTAACAATCCTCATGTTATAGTGAAAGAAACTAGGGTTTGGAGAAGTTAAAACACTTTTCTGAAGTTATCCAGTTGACAAGGAATGAGGCTGGGGCTTAGCCTATTCTATCTGATTACAAAGATAATATCAAAGGAATAAAACTTTGAAAAGAACTCACCAAACTTTGAAGGAATCTTACTTTCTCTGTAACACCAAATGATTAGAAAGTGATAATTATTAAGAAGTAGCCTTAACATATGAGAATTTTGAAAGATGATTATTATGCCATGGGCAATTTTTTTTTTTTTTTTTTTTTGAGATGGAGTCTTGCTCTGTCGCCAGGCCGGAGTGCAGTGATGCAATCTCAGCTTACTGCAACCTCCGCCTTCTGGGTTCAAGTGATTCTCCTGCCTCAGCCTCCTCAGTAGCTGGGATTACAGGCATGTGCCACCACGCCCAGCTAATTTTTGTATTGTTAGTACAGATGGGGTTTCACTATGTTGGCCATGATGGTATTGATCTCCTGACCTCATGATCTGCCCACGTTGGCGTCCCAAAATGCTAGGGATACAGGCGTGAGCCACCGTGACTGTCTGCCATGGTCAATTTTTTGACTTTTGCAGTTTGTGTTTACTCCATGTATAATTAGAATACTGGCAAAAATCACTTGGGAAACTACTTAGATGGAAAGCATTTCTGATGTAGATAATCATTATTTGACTAAATTCTATTGTTTCAAGGCTGCTGGCCACATAGGATGTTTTTACTACTACTTATTCAGCCTAAGTGCCTACATAAAATGTTACTTCTTTTGTTATAATTCTGCAAGTTGATCATATGAATTGGGTTATTCTTGTCACACCCAACTAAAACCGTCAAGAAGCTGGGGGGAAAAAGTACTTGGGACATGTAACATTGCTTCAAGAATGTAATTCTCTGTGAGCCTGGCTACTGAAACTGCTTGCTGTAACCTGAGACCAGTTTTGTCTATAGCTGCTGAGATAACTTGCTGTAACTCTAGACTAATTTTGCCCTACAGCCATTGCCCACCAATTGGAGCTTGCCAGCTCCCCAGAGCTTTACTAATACCGATGAACTTTCTCTTAAGGCCACAAGTAACATTCTTCTTTTTAAACAAAACCCTCAACCTTCTCTTTGTTCTTTGGACATACTAAAGATCACCTAGAATTGAAATTCTTTCTTCTCAAATAAAACATTAAATGTAGAGTTTTGTGTGTACATTTTTATTTTGACTTTGACATACATGATGTCAGAAGTGGGACACAAAGCTGACTCCCCTAAGGGAGAATCACTGGCCTTTGGAGCTATGGCATGAGGCACCCATATTGAGGCCCTTTGTAACCCCCACATCCTCACCACTTTTACAGGTCCCCTTTTCTCCCTCCGGTGATTATCTCTTGGACAGAACTCTCAAACAGGGTTTGAGTTCTGTTTTATTTGGAATATAGTTCAGAGGGGTCTTTCCCCCTCTTATTTGGTAGATCTGTTGGGTAGAGTTATTTTCCCTCTGTTGACCTCGGCATCGCGGTTTGGACCTTGAGATTTGGGTGAGGGAATTTTCCCTTTCTTTGGAGAAGGCTTATCATCCTTACTGGTAAGTATATGCTTTACTTTCTGTCTGGGCTTGATCTATTTGGCCTTTGTGTATTCAGTGCTTGCATTTAGTTGGCTTTTATGTAGTTGGTATTAAATCAAAGCACCTATAAAATGAGCTCTCAAAGTTCAAAGGCATGGCAGAATATTTTCTAGAACTCCAGCTGGTAACATATTCAAACATTATAAGTATCCTTTAGTCTGTTGTTCTGAAACTAAACTAAAATATGGTGGCTATAAAATCATATACTCCAGGTAAGATATGCATATCTCATTGATATCTTGAGGCAAAAAAAACAAAAAGAAACAAAATACATTCATGATGCAAATATTGCCTCGTTAAAAAATACTGTCAGCTGGGCACGCTGGCTCACACCTGTAATCCCAGCACTTTGGGAGGCTGAGGCGGGTGGATCACCTGAGGTAAGAAGTTCAAGACCAGCCTGACCAACATGGAGAAACCCTGTCTCTACTAAAAATACAAAATTGGCTGGGCATGGTAATGCATGCCTGTAGTCCCAGCTACATGGGAGGCTGAGGCAGGAGGATCACTTGAACCTGGGAGGTGGAGGTTGTGGTGAGCCAAGATCACACCATTGCACTCCAGCCTGGGCACCAAGATCGGAACAATAAAAACCATCTCAAAAAAATAAAAAATACTGTCTCAAAGGTGGCTGAAACTTTTCCCTTCCCAGACCTTTTCCCTCCCCTTCTTATAATTCCCCCTCTTTATCCTTCTCTAAACATCTATTCTAACATACTACTTAATAAAAATACTTCAAAACTAGCAGATAGAAAGTCATTTTGACCTTCATGCTGGTTTTTTTTTTAAAGCAAAGATTACATTCCATGTAAAATCTTCCCTATACAAAGAAGAATGGCATCATTCTTATCTTCAATGACAAAGAATTGAGTCCAAGAAAATACTGTATAAACCTTGTTAAAAATCGCTCTTGTCTTTTGGTCCTCCTCACATAATTCAGCCATACTTTCACAGTTAACGATTTTTTGTTCAATTTAATGCATTGGTAACTGAGTCAAACTGCTTTATCCCAAATTTCATTCACAGCCTTTATAAGATTGCCTATTAAAAAAGCTTAAGGCTTATCCTTAGTGCATTTTGTCAGAAAAATAATTTGCATGTGATAATTTTTATAAACTAGTAAATTTATGTGTTTTGCTATATTACGACTAAAATTCTAAAAAAGTTCTAATATCTTTATGTGTTTAAATATGTTTATGTGTATGTGCATATATTACGTTGTATATTTGTATCTACATAAAATCTGGTGTAGTCAGAAATCCCTTAAAAATTTTATTCTGATTGGTTTAAATAAATGAGCACTCATGGAAAATGTATAGTAATTAACCCTCCAATGTTTTTAGTTGATGTGACTTAAGTTAATCTTTGATGAAATAATTGGTTTTAAAATGTGGATAAAATAAAATTAGAAAATGTCTTCAAAATTGTCAGCATACATTTTTGTTTGGGTTTATTGGTCAGTTTTATATTTGCCTTTGTTAGATGTTTTAAGATCATAAAGCCTAAAACAAAATGATCTTTATTTATATAAGTTTTAAAATAAATATGATTAGTTTAACATTGTTGGTTTAATAAAAATCACTATAACTTCTGAGTTATCAATAGCCTGGCCATTTTTAACTTTAAGGTTCTTACTTAAATGTTAATATCAAGATAAACACTTGATGTTAACAGTCTATAAAACAGGTTAAAAACAAAAATGACTAGTTCTATCTCGATTTTCATAAATCTAGGAATAATTGAAAAATAAATAAATCTTGTAATTATAAGTAAAATAAACATTTACAAATGAGCCTTTCATGTAATTTAAAAATCTTAAAATTATGTCAAATGAAACTCATTAAATGTCTACGTCATATCCAGATTAAAAAAAAGAACAAATTGCCACATACATAAGATGTTTGTTCTTGGCTTCTTAAGTTTTCTAAAGGGACTAAAAGTATTTAGGTCTATTACTCAAAATATAAATTTAGGAAAATACAATTGATATATTTAAAAAAGATGGTAAATTTTCATCCTAAGATAAAATAATTGGTTGTTAAAAATTTTACTTTTTATTTTTTTGAGATGGAGTTTTGCTCTTGTTGTCCAGGCTGGAGTGCAATGGTGCAGTCCCGGCTCACTGCAACCTCCGCTTCCTGGGTTTAAGCGATTCTCCTGCCTCAGCCTCCCAAGTAGCTGGGATTACAGGTGCCTGCTATCACACCTGGCTAATTCAATTTTTAAAAAAATTATAGGAGTAAGATTGGGGTTTGAGGAAAATTGTAAAAGGTCTAAATAAGTCAAAAAAGATTTATAAAAGATGGACCTTATGAAAGAGGATTTATATGTGATGAAGTTGGCCAGGATTGGCAATAAATTTCTTATATGTTTTCCAAAATCTAAAATTGGTGTCAGGTATTCACTAATACAGAACCAGAGTCTAGGCCCCTATATTTAAAACAATAAAGTTTTTTTTTTTTTTTTTTTTAAGTATTGATCTGTTCTTATTAAAATTGCAGTAGTTTTAATTTTTAATTCTAAAATTAGTTTCTTTACAGCCATCTTCTTCCTGAGATCTATTTGATTTCCCTAGCTTCAGGTTAAAAATGCTGTTCTCTTCATTTAAAGTGTTCTTCATTTCTTGAAGTCGAGTTTTGCTTTTTAAATTTTCAGATTTATAGCTCAGAGATTTGACTTTTGCTGTATCTCACTGAATGTGATTTGCAGGTCGTATATCATTGTCATCAGCTTTTTCTCCCCCTGAGAAGGCATAGGACGATAACTTTCTCTACTCTTGGCTTTTATTGATATGTCTAAATTGTTCCGTGTAACAAGGAAATTTCCCTTGCTGTTACTAAGAGACATGTATTTTCCTGCTCAAGATACTGGTTTTTCTTGTTGACAATCCTCTGTTATACTCTCTACATTCATAACTTTGGACACATTCTTTCTGTGTCTAATTAAAGTAACCTTTTCATCAGGCTCAGCTTCCAGGTTATCTAAGTGAATCTCCCATGAGGAGAAACAATCACTTTGTAGTGTTTTTTTTTTTTTTTTTTTTCTCTCTTTTTGGTAGCTGGCTTAAGAAACAAATACTTTACATCTTATCAAGGTAATTTCCTGTGTTGTCCTTATTAGATTTGATTACTTAAAGAAACTGAGCCTTAAAGGGTTATGGTTTTTACATCCATGTCACTTTCTGCTCTGCTTTTGAAGTCTTTAGCTTACCACCCTGGTTAAATGAATACCTTTTTTTACAGGGACCTCTGATTCTGTTTTTGATCAAGTGTTTTGAACCTTTTAACATCTTTGACAAACTTCTCCAAAATGAAATTCTAATTCAAGTCTCTTTAACTGAGAATTAACTTGGGATTTTCCAGTTGGGCCCCTGGAAAGCCTCAAAAGACGTATCTCAACTTGTAGAGATATTAAATAATTAGGCTTACTAGGTAAATTATATAAGAAACATTGTCAAGTGATAAGTGATAGTAGCTATCTTTTAGTTGCATTTATGGGTATGCTGTTGATATTTATTCTTTGGTGTTTTGTTTTGTCGTGGGACAGTCTTGCTCTGTTGACTAGACTGGAGTGTGGTGGCTCAGTCTTGGCTCACCGCAACCTCTGCCTCCTGGATTCAAGTGATTCTCCTGCCTCAGCCTCCCAAGTAGTTGGGATTACAGGCACCCACCACCATG